CTCTGTCATGGTAAGACATGCTTGCTTCCTCTTTGCCTTTGCTATGATTGTAAGTTTCCTGAGGCCTCCCAGCCATGCTTCCTGAACAGCTTGCAGAACTATGAGTCAACTGAACCTCTTTTCTTCATAAATTACCCAGTATCAGGTAGTTCTTTATAGAAGTCTAGGAACAGACTAATAGAGGGCCTTTGTCATGTCATTGGGATAATGGGCTCAAGATTTCTCAGCAAAGGGTAATAATAGGGTTTAGAAACAGGGAGTCAGCCAGGCACAGTGGGCTCATGCCTATAATCCTCACACTTTGGGAGGGTTAAGTGGGAGGATCACTTGAGCCCAGGAGTTTGAGACCAGCCTGGGCAACAAAGCAAGATCCTGTCTCTACAAAAATATTTTATAACTTAGCTTGGTATAGTGGCACACACCTGTGGTCCTAGCTACTCAGGAGGCTGAGGGAGGAGGATCCCTTGGGCCCAAGAGGTCAAGGCTGCAGTGAGCTGTGATTACATCACTGCACTCTAGCCCTGGTGACAGAGGGAAACCCTGTTTCAAAACAAAAAAAACAGGAATCAAGTCTCTGACCATGATACACAGATAGTTTTCTTCCCTCCTTTAAAACTGTCCAGAGTTACGCATTGCCTAGATCAGGGCTTTTCTTTTCTTTTTTTTTGAGACGGAGTTTCGCTCTTGTTACCCAGGCTGGAGTGCAATGGCGCGATCTCGGCTCACCGCAACCTCCGCCTCCTGGGTTCAGGCAATTCTCCTGCCTCAGCCTCCTGAGTAGCTGGGATTACAGGCATGCGCCACCATGCCCAGCTAATTTTTTGTATCTTTAGTAGAGACGGGGTTTCACCATGTTGACCAGGATGGTCTCGATCTCCTGACCTCGTGATCCACCCGCCTCGGCCTCCCAAAGTGCTGGGATTACAGGCTTGAGCCACCGCGCCCGGCCCGATCAGGGCTTTTCTAATGGTAAAATGTACATACATTCCCTGAGGACATTGTTAAAATGTAGATTCTGCTTCAGAGGGGCTGGTGAGGCCTGAGTGTCTCAACTGTCTTGCTTCTGCCACTCTCCACCCTCACCCTTTATCACTTCAGGATGCAGATTTATCTATCTTGTTGCAGATGTTTTCCCAGAATCTGAAAGAATGTCTGAAATAGAACAGGTGCTCAATAATTATTTGTCAAATAAATGAATAAATTGATCTTGATTCTGAGTTTCTAGAAAACAGAAAAGGAAGGGCAGAAAGGGAAATCAGGGGCCAAGGGAGGCATTTGGAAACGGTTGTTACAGAGTAGTAATTGGAGGAAAGGCGCCTCCACAAGGGTTTGAAGTTAAAGATTTAGGTGATGGGGTATCAGATTTCAGCCTGAAGAAACAAAAACGAAAACAAACAAAAAATGAGGACAACCCAGAAACAAATGACTCTAACTTGCTCGAAAAGTCATATGTGAACACATCTATAAACAGCTGATCTTCTAGTTTTCACTACATAAACACAGACAGACATGCACGCACGGGTGTACATACACAGGCATTGGTGGTTTCCTTTCCTCCACATCCCACTAATATCCGGCTTGTGACCTTGTCCTGCTGATATGGTAAAACTGGGATAAATTCAGATTCACACTCTTAGCTGCTCCAAAGTGGCCTCATCAATGAGTGCTATTCTGTAAACTCAGGGAAGGAAGTGAATGTGTTTGCATGTGCAGCCAATAGAAATCTCAGCTGTCTTGTCTGGCATGAGAAGTCCCCCCCTTTAATGGGCTGGAAGGCCACCCCGGGGCTGGGCAGCTTGCCTCCAGCTGGGGTTGTTTTTGTTTTGGTTGCAAAGTCACCAAGACCTCCAGAGAAACAAAGCAACTGAGATTTTTCTGTCTTGTTTTGTTCTAACGAGTCAAACTTACCAGGCACACAAAGCTGAAGTCTGCCACGACATTTTTATGCTTTCCCCACATGAAGCAAAGTTCTAGGCAACAGCTCCCTTCCTTCTCCCACATGAGCTAATAGTCTGTAGCTCCCTAGCCATGACTGTGTTTATAACCCTGGGCTTCAAGACCAGTGAGGAAAATTGTGCTCACTACAAGACATGCTTTCCCATCAAATGTTAGTTTTTTGTTTGTTTTTAGAAAGATATTTAGAAAATGAGGTAAAGAGAACTGCACTTTTTTCTCCAGCAGAGAACAAACATCTGGATTTTCCCTACCTCTGATTTCGGTTTCATGACAAAACTGAGCATGTGACCTGGATCTATTTCAGGGGAAACTGCAAGAACCCAGGGTTTCACCCAAAAATGAGAAGCCCATGTATTTCTCTGTTTCTCATGACCACAGAGCGCTCCGAACCCTGCAGTTAGTGGCTCACTGGAATGAGGAGTCAGACCAGGAGGAACTGGAGAAATAAGGCCTTTTCTGCGCCAGGGCCTGAGTCATTTCTAAGAGGGTGCCCTGGAGAACCAAGCTTGAGGTTTGCGTGTTTTTCCCTATATGACAGCAATCTTGAAAACCTTTCAAAAGGTCAGTGGAACTGACTTTGAGGGGCCCTCTGCATGATTGTGTGAGGTTTGGAAGGAAAGAGTTCAGGGCAAAGCTGTGATGCAGCTCCTGGCTAGGGCTGTGGCAAACAGGGCGCCATTAGGAGTGCAGCGCGAGTCTCTGCCAGCCTGTTCATCACACCACATGTACGGTGCTCTCAGCCCAAGAGGCCCTCTGGGAGCTGACAGGAACACTGAGTTCATCCATCCAGGCTCATCCAGGGGGGTTCCTGAGACGCACTCCACCTGGGGGCGTGGGCTATTTTAGCTGTCACTGTACCGACTAAACACCAGAAGAACCCTCAGCACTTTGGACCTGCTGCTTTCTCACTCAAACATTTCCACAGAAAAGTGACAGTAAGCTTATTACTGAATCCAATTACAAGCCCACTGTTGCCAGTGTGGGTTTATGTGATACATCGTAAGTTCTGCTACATGATTAGCCAAATCTTTTCACTTATTTTCTGTTACAGATACTTGAATGCAGAGGTAGAAGCATTGGGAAACAGCAAAGGGGGTGAGGTGTTTTGAGTGGTCTGGAGCAAGATGAAATCTCCCCAAACCTTACGATCCGTTTGCTATTGGCCTTTTTTTCTTACAAAATTAATCTAGAGTGGCCGCAGTTCTGTGGAGGATGCTTTAGAACAGGGCAGTCGTGTCCTGCCAGAACCATTATCTTCCCTTTGGTAAAATAAGGATGTCCATCATGTTTTCCCCTGGGGTTTTCTCAGGATGAGTTTCAAGATCTCCCAAACTCTAAATTAGCTTCCAGGTGCTCAGTTCCTGAACCCCTGTTTTCTAAAGTCCTTAATCAAAGCTAGAGTCAAATAGCAAATTTTCAAAGAGAACTTCTCATTGAGACCACATGTTCCCAACTGATATAATAGCCAATTTTAAGATCATCTCAAAGGTCTTCTGGGTGCCAAATCTCCAATGTAGCTTATTGAAAAGTCTTCCCAAAATGTCCAGAACTTTCCAGGTCACGGATCTGTGTCCCTTCAGCAGGGACCTAGAATGGATATCAATGCTATAAATGCCTTATCAGACTGTGGTCACGCTTAAAGAGAAAGAAACCACAAAAGGCTACAGTGGCACCCCACTGGCCCCACACAGCACCACATTTTGCCAGACTTCTTAGATCTGATTTGGTAGGTAGAATCATTTCAAAGATCCTACGGAACCTGAAGTTTAGGATTAAGTGCAATGATGAGTCAGATTCAAAGCTGACTGGAAAAAAAAACGAATAGGGTTTCATGGACAATGTACACATGTGGTCAGTAAGGCTGCCTGCTGCACGTTGCATCTCTCACTCCCTCATCCACTCAACAAACCCCTCTCAGGTTCCGGCATGTGCCAGCCACTGTGCTCAGCACTGGGTATTCAATGTTGAACAACATAGTTCTTGACTCCCAAGATCAAATATATATTGGTAACACATTTCTGCCCCTATCATAACTCTCCTTTCCACACCTTGCCTGCCCGGGTGATACTGAACTGGGTAAAGAGCCAAACCTGGAGAAAAAATCATCCCAACAGTTGCACAACTGGAATGATATGCCAGCCTCAAATCATATCTGCAAATTTGTTGATACTCTTCGCATCCAGAGGTTATGGTCTCTATCCCCTCCCATTGAATCTGGGCTGGGTCTTAGGAATGCATTTCTAAGCAATAGAAAGCCACAGAAGTGATGCTGTAGAACTTTCAAGATTAGATCAGAAAAAGTGATGTCGCTCCTGCCTTCCTTGCTGGGACACTTGCTTTTGGAACACTGAGCCATCATATAGGAAATCCAAATACCCTGCAGCCTCCATGCTGGCAGGCAGCTCAGACCACAAGGAAAAGCCCTGCACAGACATTCCAGTCAGAGATACTTGTGGTCGAGGCCTTCCAGCCCAGGTGTCAAACATAGGAGTAAATGAACCTTTGTAAGATTCCAGCCCCAGGCTCCTGGTTTTCCCACCTGAGGCCCTGGAGTTCATGGAGCAAAGGCAAGCCATCCCTACTTTGTCCTTTCCAAATTCCTCACCTAGAGGATCCCAGGCCCTGGAGGAACAGGAATGCCTGCAGGCACCTGATGTCTCTTCTTTCTTCCTCAGATCCCTGGGGTGGACAGTCAAATTGTATTGCTCTCCTTCTCCTTCTCCTGGGGGCCCCTGATAGACTTGGAACCAGTTGTAGAACCAGTATCCATTAATGAAAAGTGGGGAGTCAGGGACTCTTTCTGGCGAGCCCACACCCTTCATAATGTTAAGAACACAGACCCTGGGGACAAAGCCTGACTCCATCACTTACTCTGAGATGACTCAAACTCCCAAACTTCAGCTTTTAATCTGTAAAATGGGGACAGCAGTACGTACTTCATACGGCTGTTGTCAGGATCACAATGAGGGAATCTATGCAAAGTGCCTGGCATGTGGCAAATGCTCAAATGTCTTCCCCAGGAAGAAGCATCTCTTGTGACTTACCCCTTGTAAGACTTGAAAGCTGTCATTGTTGGGTGGTGGGTCTTGATCAGGGTCAACACCAACTCTGAAAGTCACCAGGGAGAAAGACAAAGAGAAAAACAGAGAGTATTAGCTTGGCCCGTGGTAGCCATGCAGGCTGCAAGTAGCCCGGAGACTGACCATCTTCCCGAAGCAGAAGGAGTGGTTAGCTAAAAGGAGAGGAAGGCTGTCATGCAGAAGTTGTGAGAAAGAGGTCGCATACCACTTCAGATCCCAGAGGGTCGGAGGGGCGATGAATCCCATGTGCTTCCACTCTAAGCAAGGCCTCTGGAACACAACACATGCTGGCAACTGTCCACTTGCTTTTCTGTACCAGGTGGTCTCAGTTATCAAAATGTAGGTCTCACTACACTGGGCCATTCCTCTATGCTGCTTCCTCACTTCTACCCTGGCCTGCTTTAACTTCCCTAACATTTTGTTATAAATTTTTTCAAGTATATAGGGAGAGAGATGCTGAAATAATTTATAGTGAACCCCTATATGCCCACCATCACTAGATTCTGCCATTAACATTTTACAGTATATTCCTTATTACCTATCTATCCATTTCTCTATCACCCATCTTACTTTTTTGGATGCATTCAGATAAAGCTGCAGACATCAGTACATTTCCCCTAAAAACTTCACATGCATATTGACAAAGAATCTCTCCTTGAGCAAACTTTGGTCAGACTCCTAGGAATTCACTTCCCAACTAGGTACTGACTTTTGGGCTTCCATATCCATCTCAGCATAGCCCAATTTTAGCAAGAGTCTTGCTAAGTTGGTTTGGCCAGAACCCCCTGTTCCCAATATCTGATTGGGTTCTTCATCCCCCACAATCCCTCGGGTGATGCATAATCCACTTAGCCTGTCTTCAGCAAGAATCTTGTTAGGTCAGTTTAGCCAGAATTCCCCTTACCCCCTTACTCCATCCACTGACCCCTGTTTCTCTCCTCTGCTGCAAAACTCCACCACAGTGGTCCCTATACCAATCGTGATGGTCCTGAACAATGTCTGCCTTACCCATTTAATATATATCAGAATAATGTTTTCTTTAACAATATCATTAACTAGAGTCCTGATCTGCTTTTAATCCTGGTGCCCCTATACCCTCTTGCATCAAGATGGCCTTGAGGACTCACACATTTGAAAGCAACAACTAAAGAGAAAGAAAAAGCCAAATGGCAAGACTCATTTATAACGAATACTATAAAAGCACCAGGGCAGTTGTCTTGGCTTAGTAACATACTAACTGGCACTCTGTGCATCTGTTCATTTTTTAAAACTCCTCACACCTTCCTCATTCTGAGGCAGGAAACTGTGCCATGGATAATATTAGGCAGTGGGGGAGAGAAAAAAAGATGCCAGGGAAATCCTACATCAGCCATGGAAGTTCCAACCTTCACTGCAGCCACTTTGTAATCAACCACGTCTGAAATGCAGCCCAAACTCCTGACAGCAGAGAGCCTAAAAAAACCTCCCGGGCCCTCCTACAGACAGAGAAATGTGGGAAGGCCCTTGGAATCTCTTGGAGGGCCTTGCTACTGGTGAAAGTGTGGAACAGGAGATTTCTAAGAAAGGAAGCAAAGAGCTGCTTATCAGCTTGTTACTGCTAAACAACAACCAAAAAAACCACCCAAAAACAATAAAACAGATCAGGGTCATGAACAAATGATGTTCTGCAATTTTTTTCCCCTATTCAAGGCTGTTTACTTTAGGGCAATTTAGTAATTACTTTTCTGGCAGGGTTGAGGGCCTCTTGGACCAATCCCCAAGGATGACACGGGACCTTGTGGTTTCCTACAAAGAGCTCCACCCTTGGGGCAGAGCCCAGAACCAAACTGGTCTCTGGGAAGAGGAGGTAAAGCAATGGACCAGTGTGTTCTAGTGAGGAACTGGGCAGCAAGAAAGAACAGGCACAGGATTTTTTTTTTTTTTGAGAATTTTTTTGAGATGGAGTCTTGCTCTGTCACCCAGGCTAGAGTGCAGTGGCATGATCTTGGCTCACTGCAACCTCCATCTCCTGGGTTCAAGTGATTCTCCTGCCTCAGCCTTCCAAGTAGCTGGGACTACAGGCATGCACCACCACACCTGGCTAATTTTTGTATTTTTAGTAGAGATGGGGTTTCACCATGTTGGCCAGGCTGGTCTCGAACTCCTGACCTCAGGTGATCCGCCCACCTCGGCCTCCCAAAGTGCTGGGATTACAGGTATGAACCACCACGCCCATCCCAGGCACAGAATTTTAATTGCAGGTTTAAAGCCTCAGAAGACTTGAGGGTCCCCCCACTTCCTGAAATTCCTAGTGTCAGGCTACTGTTCACTTTATGTATCTCTCTCCTGACACTGGAACTTTTTATGCTGTTTTATTATATCTTATTTTAGCATTCCCTGATAAAAACACAAATGACAGTCTTTTCTTTCAGAATGGACACAATTATCTTTATTTCCATTATGAATTAGATAGATGTGGACATCCCACACTAAATGAAAAAATAAAGCAAGCAAACTGATATGCTCATTCTGGAATGAATAAATACCAAAAATTGATAATTACTCTGTTGGTATAACTTGTCCATTCTGATTAACAGATAAAATGCCATGAAATCTTGGAAGGTTTAGAAGTATTCTATGTTAATTAATTATTTTTTTTAAAAGCCCCTGAATGGTCGAGGTTTTGAGTAATTTGAGGAATATGAGACATACGTCTTCATATAACACCTTGAATACCATATCATAATCTGAATTTGCTCATGCCCCAAGTGTAATAACTTACACTTTGCCTGAAGGACTTTCCTTCTTGAAGGCATGCTTTAAAGGAAAGGGTTTCCTCTGCAATTTAGCTGGTATCAAAGTCAGTCTCCAAAAACGAACATGTGTGCATACAAAAAAGTCTGATTTCGGTGAGCTTAAATACTTAATTTCATGGGTGTCATTACAGTGTACATACAGGGCCTGGTGATATCCCAAAACCCATGTCCCACTGGTCTCACCACTGCCCTCAAGGAAGTGAAATAGTCTCATAGTGCCGAGAACAGAGTTGAAGCCTATTTTGCATTTGACGTATCTAGCAGTACACAGAATCAGATCAGGAAGAAAATGTGCCAATTACAGAAACAGGAAGGAAAGAAGAAACATTAAAGTCTGTACTCAGCTTGCCCAGACATCACCACCCTTAAGCATAGTTATATCATAAACTTGGAAGGATACTAAGAAACAAACTGCATTAGAAGAATCTTTATCTTTTTGGTTAAATAAACATTCTTCATATCTTCTGATTGACCATGACAAGGCACAAGTACACAAATACGTATTCTGAAAAACTATAACAGCAGTGATATTTAAGATGGTGTAAGCCTTATCCCAGTCATGGTTGAAATATGAAAATTCTAGTGCTCTTTATGAATGAAGAGCCTTATTTACCAGATCATAAGCAGGATTTTGTGGGAAAAGTGTGGCTCTGACAATGAGCTGCTCTTAACACTAAGCTCAGTTGTACAAAAAGGAGACACTTGACAACTCAGGCTTTGTGTTGGCAACATATTGTCTAACATGCGGGGAAAGCAGAGAGAATCCCAAGAACACTGACACATCAATCAACCCAGAGGAAGGGTGGAAAAAAAAATGATTAAAACTGACTTAACCTTTTGCCCCTTTACTAAAAGGGGTGGAGGTTGGCACATACAGGAAGAGTAAAACAGTATAAAGAGAAATATCTGAGGTTAGAAAGAAGAGAAAAGCCAGGCCCAGTTAATTTTTTCTGAGGATGCCCTTGTGTCACCTGAAGTACAGCCAGTGGTGTTCGTTCTGGTCCTCTTCGGAGGGCTCCTCGACGCCAACTCTGGGCAGCAGAAGAAGGGAATGTGAGTGTGATGGGGACAACAGGAGAGCTAGAAGCTCTGGGCACATGATCTGGACCATGTCCATGAGAGAGTATTTCTCACTTTCAATAAATGCATATCCTCTCTTAAACCATCCCCGTCCTCTAAAACCCAGAGAGGCTGAGAGGCCACTACATTTAAATTTAAAGTAACAATGTTAGGAGCCAGGTCAAATGAGGACTGATCAGGAATGAGGATGAGCCTCTCAAAATGTAATGTAAAATAAAGTCAGAGGATGAAATACACCTCATAGAAAATATAAATTTACGTAATTTTTTCAGAAATTCATCTGTTTTATAAAGCAAGATACAAAAAAATAGAAAAAAGGAAACTGTTGCTTAGATATGTTATACATATTTAAAGTGTTTACTCATATTTGACAGAAACAACAAAAAGCATGATATTATTGAAAAACAGCAACAAGTTACTTAAGAAGACGAAGATGACCTTTTTTCCCAGACAAGCAAACCATGTTGTACACAGGATCAACCTGAAAGTCGGGAACCCAACTTCTGCTATTCCCTTCACCTTGTAGCCTTTGAGTTGGCATGGTCCACCTTTACTTCCTTCATTTCTGGGTTACTCAGAGTACATTTGAATCTTACCATCATGTTGGAGCAGGGTTTCCTAAACTTGGCAGCGCTGACATTTTGGGTCAGATAATTCTCTGCTGTGGTGAGCCATACTGTGCATTGGAACAAGTTTAACAGAGTCTCTGGCTTTCACCTACAAGATACTAGTAGCAACCCTATCCACCAAGAAGCTGAGGTTTTGACCCCTTCCTCTGGTTGCAGCTAACTAAAAACATCTCCAGATACTGCCAAATGTCCCTAGGGGGGCAAAATTGCCCTCAGTTGAGAACCACTACACTAAACCACGTATTCTCAATGGAGGCAGTATCACCCTCATGGGTATAAAAATTGGTTCTTAAGGCCCAGTGCGGTGACTCACGCCTGTAATCCTAGCACTTTGGGAGGCTGAGGCGGGCAGATCACAAGGTCAGGAGTTTGAGAACAGCCTGACCAACATGGAGAAACCCCATCTCTACTAAAAATACAAAAATTAGCTGGACATGGTGGCACATGCCTGTAATCCCAGCTACTCAGGAGGCTGAGGCAGGAGAATGGCTTGAACCCAGGAGGCAGAGGTTGCAGTGAGCCAAGATCGCGCCACTGCACTCCAACCTAGGCAACAGAGCAAGACTCTCAAAAAAAAATTGGTTCTTGTAGGTAAAAAAAAACTTAGACATTGTGATGGTTTGTTGTCCTCCAAAGTTCCACAGCATAGACAGAGATGTATAGTAGATCTGTAGCATTAAAATTTCACTGGGGGAGGTAATTGGGGAAAAAGTTTTTAAAGGCTCCTCAGCAGGGGCAATAATGAAGAAAAAGATTGAAAACTATTTCACTAGACAATGCCCCAATTCTCATGTCACTAATATCCCCTGACGTCTACAAGTGAGGACATGCTTCTTAAGGTGGTACTTTTAATTAGTTACATGTTCAGAATGTGACTTAAATCAGATTCTATTACTACAGCATTGAAAAATTATAGCAAACACCAGAAAAACAACCCAGATTCCTTAATGTAAGAGTCATTGTCTCTTGAGTAATAGTATTAATAATAGTAGCAGCTGTAATGCTATGACTAATACTATCAATATAATAACAGCTAAAATATACTAAGTGCTTATGTGTCAGATGGTACACTGATGAGAATTCTTCATCACATTTATTTATTACCACATTTTATCCTCACACTACGACTGCCCCCATTAGTTGGTGAGGAAACTGAGGGTTACAGGTGAAATAAGTTGCCCAAGGTCACAAAGGTAGAAATGCTACAGCCAAGATTCCAACTCAGGCTGCTAGACTCCAGAGCCTCAGCTTTTCCTCTTATAGGATACTGCCTTTGATTACAAGGAGGCATCTTAAAAGTCTTTTAAAATATCCAGTTGCAAATGCCATTACATAAAGAGCTCAGAGCTTTTCCCTTCCTTTATTCTTTATGTTATCTTGCAAAGAGCTTTATTACAAATTCTCAGTCTAATAGGATTATGCCACGTAGAGCATTCTTACTTGTCTTTGAATGATTATATTACTACACTCTGGACTGTGAAGGTTACAGTTCATTTGGCCACCTGAGTGTATGTCGTTTCACTGCCCCCCACCATCACCACCATTTTGTGTATGTTACTTGAAGCTGAGGGCTCCAAGAAGCCAGTCATCATGTTGTCACAATGTGGTCAGGACACACATAAGGCTCGTCAGCTGAAATAATCACACAATCATTTTTTAAGTTGCCAAAATTATGCCCTTTGTCAATAACAATTCTTACTCAAGAGACTAAGAAAAATACTATGTTTTGACAGAAAGCAATTTGCACATTTTGCCATTATGTTTTAAAATATCAATCACAAAACACCAATTTAAAAAGACAAATTGGATTTATGGAAAGCAGTGACCTGGCTTTGGATTTATAGTTATATTCACTTTTATATTATAGAAAGACTTGAAATTAGCCATAGTTAAGAAGCACAGCTAACTCCTATTTATGGTGAACTCCAAGAACCACCCTGGGCTTCTGACTTCTGAGCAGCTACTTAACAGCTTGTCAGGGCCTCTATCAGCCTAGAGAAGTAAGGAACCAGTAGGTACTGATCATGTCAAAGTCACAGGGGTCAAAATACCAGACTGAATTTCACGGGGTTTCTGAATCAATTTAGAATAAGAACCTTGGTTACAGAGATGATTCATGGCTATTAAGTAACACCACAAACCACAAGCGAGAAAAATCAATCTGTTTTATTATCTTATTTCAGAGGGAATTTCTTTTGATGTAATCTCTGTAAATGTCAGTTTCTACACTTATGTAATCATTATTTATACACATCTGGAAAAATGCAACGAACTGATACCATATGTACTTTTCAGTAATCGCATACTTTGCTTCATTATGCTGTCTGGATAGAGTCAGACAGAAGGAAGGAAATAATAAAGATAGAAACAGAAATAAATTAAAATGAAATTAGAAAACCAATACAGTTCTACCACTGGTTGCTATCAAGGTGAAAAAAAAAGAGAAAAACAATACAGAAAATCAATGAAATAAATAGCTGGATTTTTGGAAAAGATCAATAAAATTTGCAAATGTCTAGCAAGCCTGACCGAAAACAGAGAAGATATATCAAAAATGGGATATCACTATAGACCCCACAGACATCAAAAACATAACAAGGGAATGCTACAAACAACATAAACTTGACAACTTAAATGAAATTGACGAATTTCACAAACTACCTCCACTTACCCAATATGAAATAAGTCATTTGAAAAGCCCTATAACTAATAAAGAAATTGGCTTCATAATTGAAAACCTCCCAAAAAAGAAGTTTCCAGACCCAGATGATTTCACTGGAGAATTCTACTGAAAGTTTAATGAAAATAATTAACACTAACTCTACACAATCTCTTCCAGAAAACAAAAGAGTAGGCAACACGTCCAACTCATTTTATGAGGCCAGATTACTCTGATACCTAAAACAGACAAAAGTAGTACAAAAACAAGAGAACTATTGACCAATATCCCTCATGAATACAGACATAAAAATCCTTAACAAAATGTTTGCTCATAGAATTCAGCAATATGTAAAAGAATAATATACCACATCAAGTGGGGTTTATTTCTGAGAAACAAGGCTGGTTCAATATTTTAAAAGCAATCAATATAATTTACTATATTAATAGGCTAAACAAGAGAAATCATATGATCATATCAATTGATACAGAAAAAAAATTTGACAAAATTCAATACCTGTTAATGAAAAAAAATTCTTAACAAACTAGCAATAGATAGGAGCTTCCTCAACTTAGTGATGAACATCTACAAAACCCTATAGATAATATACTTAATAGTGAAAGACTGAATGCTTTCCTCCTAAGATCAGAAACAAGGTGAGGCTGTCCATTTATACCACTCTTATTCTACATAGTAGTGAAAATCCTAACCAGAGCAATAAGGTAAGAAAAGGAAACAAAAGGCACACTGCTTGAAAAGGAAGAAAACAAACTGTTGAGATTTACAAATAACATGATGGTCCGTATGTTCTATGTAGAAAATTCCAAAGAATCTACCAAAAGAAAGAAAAAAAAAAAAAAAAAAAAAGAAAAGAAAAAGAAGGACCAAAACCCTTTCAGAACTAAAGAACTAATAAGTGAGTTCAGCAGTAAGGTGACAGGATGCAAGTTCCAACAAAACATGTACAGGCCTTATATGCTGAAAACTGCAAAAATCTAATAAAAGAAATCAAAGAAGGTATAAATCAATGGAGAAATGCATCATGTTCATGGATTGGAAGAGTTAACATAATAAAGATGTCAATCTCCCCAAAAATTGGTGTAAAGCTTTAATATAATTTCTACGAAGGACCCAGCAAGATTTTTTTTACATGTAGACAAATTTATTCTAAAATTTATATGGAAAGGAACTAGAATAGCCACAATAAAGTGGGAGGAATCACTCTAACTGATGCTAAGGTTTACTGTCTAAGTATAGTTATCAAGACAGTATGGTCTTGGAAGGAGAGACACATAAACCAATAGAGAAGTGCAGAAAGAGACCCCCGTGTATACAGACAACTGATTTTTGACAAAGGAGCAAAATTAATTCAATGGCGTAAGGACAGTCTTTTTAACATATTGTACTAGAACAACTGGATAGCCGCTTGCAAATAAAACCTCAACCTAAATCTCATATCTTATACAAAAATTATCTCAAAATGGATCACAGACTTAACTGTACAGTGTAAAACTAAAAAGCTTTTAGAAGATAATGCAGAAGAAAATCTTCAGGATCTAAGGCTTGGTGGAGTCCTTAGACATGATACCAAATGCATGACCCATAAAAGAAAAAAAATGATAAATCATACTTCATCAGAATTAAAACCTCTGCTCTAAGAAAGACCCTTTTAAAAGAATTAAAAGAAAAGTTACACACTGGGAAAAAATATTTGCAAACCATGTATCTGACAAAAGACTACAGTCTAGAATAAAGAATGCTAAAAATTCAACAAACAATCCAATTTAAAAATAGACAAAAGACTTGAACAGATATTTCACCAAAGACATATGAATGGTAAATAAACATATGAAGTGATGTTCAACATCATTATCTATGACAGAAATGCAAATTAAGGCCACAATGAGATATTCCCATATAGCTATTGGAACAGCCGAAATGAAAAACACTGACAATACCAAATGCTGGGGAGGATGCTGAGGAACTGGATCATTCATACACTGCTGGTGGAAATGTACAATGGTACAGCCACTCTGGAAAACAGTTGGCAGTTTCTTATAAAACTAAACACATGGTTACTATCCAACCCGGAAGGCACACTCCTGGGCATCTAGCTTGGAGAGGTGAAAGCTTATGCCCATACAAAAATCTATACAGGAATATTAATAGTGGCTTTATTTATAATAGTCCAAAAACTTGAAACTATCCAAATGTCCTTCAAGGTGTAAATGGTTAAACAAACTCTGGTACATCCAGAGTTTGGCTGGAGCCACTTATTAAGCAGCACCTACGTGGATCTCCAAGGCAGTTACCAGAACAAAATGTCAAAAGTCAACTCTCTACTCTCAATGGAAAATTATTTGGTCCCTTATATGTTGGAGGGAAGGGAGAAAAGGATTTATAAAATATAAAAAACAAACATGATTTATGAGGCTCTGAGCATCCAGAGCATCTACTAAGTAACCAGACAAACAGGAAGTAATCTCAGAGGTCACCAAACACAAAGATTCTCAACTGTGTGTAGGGTAAATCTTTTTTCTTGCCCTAATTCTGCTACATAGAACAAAGATGGTACATCTTATGTCTTAAGGTAAGAGACTAAATTTTCTTCAGGTTTATTTTCTCAAAGATGGATTCTTTTCCTTAATCCAACCCTTGAGATTCATGCCAGGAAATTGTAATTCTAACCTTCCCAAATTTTGTAACTCTTCTTACAGGCAGTATAGCACAGTGGTTAAGAGTGTGGACTCTGTGGTATGAGTGCCTAGGTTCAAATCTTAGCTCGTCCACTTAAAGCTCTGTGACCTTGGGCGTTACTGCTTTGCACCTCAGTTTCTCCAACTCTAAAATGGGGATAATAGTCCTATCTCCCTTATAAGAATGTTATGAGAATTACCTTAATATATGCATGGTATCTTGAACAATGCCTGCCACATAAGTGTTACTTATCATTATGACTAACACTGATAAACCCGATATTAGTTCTGCAGACCCACCTGGATCTCAGGCAGATACACTAGCCCAGAAATGGTGAAGTTGTCAGTGGAAGTGGCAGTAGCTGGCAATAGAAGTGGCAGCCCAGGAATCTCTACCTAACATTAATACAAAAATCATATCCCAGATACAGGAGATGATTCTCTCAAATTTTAGTTTTTTCCCCCAACTCCAAGGATGACTGGGAGATCTGTGTTCATTTTCTCTCCTCCAAGCTATGTATGCTCTGCAGCTGTCTTGGACATTCTACAATCTCGAGAAGAGAATACAAACTAGAAAAGGCGGCAGACAAAGAAAAACCATTGCCACCTTGTGGCTTTTCAGAGAATTTTTCTTCACACCTCTGCACTACCCAAGTGTCTTCTTGTTCTAGAACATGGTCACTCTCTGCAGACCTGAAATTGTGGCAGGTGGCCAGGGCACATCCAGTGATGTGCAGCACAACACTTAGAGCTGAAGTGCCCTTGAGATCACCTGGCAGAGCATCCTCACTTAACACAGAGGAAAACAGGCCCAAAGACATGTGGGGCTTGTCTTCAACCCAAGCCAGCGTTGGGCTGTGGGTCTCTTGAACCCTGTTTCCAATGACCTCTTTACCATAAGATGCTGGAGCTCACAAACACAATTTGGAATTCTAATGCTCTTGAAAAAGTCAAACTTGTATCAGTGCTCCTCTGTCCTGACACAGCTATGAAGCCACAGGCAGAGGATGTCCATGAAACCGCAACAGATGAGGGTTACACAGGAAATGTTACCTCTTCTGTGCACTCAAGCAAGAAGAGACAGCATACAGCTTCATGCTAAAATAAAACTAAAATAAAACTCTAATTGCCTCTATTTCTGGTTGGTGAGCTTATTCTTCAGGCTCTGGATTTCATTTCAAAGGAACATGAAATACTGGACTCTGCCAGGGGCTCTTGGTCTATTTTCTCTGCCACAGCTTTAAGACTTCTTAAATTCTTGCTCTAATGTCACTGTTCTAGCAAGATCCAGGCACTTCTCATTCTTTGTATGTTTGTACTGACAACAATTTTAATGACTACATTTTTTTTCTCCTGGAAAACCCCATACTTTAAAAAAATTGTTAACCCCCCCCCAAACAAAACAAAAGACTGTAAAAGGCTTCCATGAACTAAAGCCACGGCATATCATGCACAGGGTATTATTGAACATTCTCAACAACGGTGACAGCTGACATACGCAGACAGAATTAGTCTTGGGTCCAAACCAACCTGATGTTAAGCCATGACAACATGGGTGTCGTGCCTCCTCCAATGATCCAGACAGTGAAGAACACGATGAGAAGGGTGGTCGTGAACATCATCTGGCGAGCATAGGATGCCGTGTCACGGATGGCCAACGCAAATGCCATTGCTCCCCTGAGGCCTGCGGGGACCAAAGAGGAAGATCTGCTTATAAGGATTAAATGACAATATTGTCTCAAAATCCACTGCTGCCATTTGGAGCCAATAAACTCGATTCATTTATGCTTCAGGGGCCAAGTTGTTTTATTCAGAAAAGAGGACCTCAAAGGCACAATTTTCTTTTATTTGATGTTGTCTTTTGCAAAACTCCCCAATACAATGAGAAAAGCATTGCACTGCTTTGTACAGCACGGTTTTTAGAATAATAACACTCTTATTAGTTAAATGATTCTCCTGCTAGTAACATGAAGTAAAAATAAATTATAGTAATAACATAAGCTAAAACTGTGACCCCAACAAAACCCAAGCACTACACAGTCAATGTGAAAAAAAAAAAAAAAAACAGGCTAGGTACTAGTATGTCAAATTTCTGAAAAATAGTTCAACATTTCCTTAGCAAAAGGGGAAGCCACCCAGAGAAGTGAAAATATAACCCAATTTATATCAGGAGTGGGGAACTCTTTCTGTAACCAGCCAGATATTAAAGATTTTAGGTTTTGTGGGCCAAGAGGCAAAATCAAGAATATGGTGTGGGTACTTATATCTTAGAGACAAACATTTCCACAAATTTTTATTATCAAGTCAATAATAATAATTGAGGCCACTTTGTTGTAATACAGGTCTACTAATGAAAAGAGGGAAATTCTTTTTGGAGGGGATACTTTGCTCAATTGCTATTTCAAAGTCAATGTTCTCTATCATCAAATAGAGTGTAAATATTCATCTGTATAAGGCATTCTTAGCTTATGGGCTATGTAAAGACAGGCAGTGGCCAGATTTGGCCCAGGGGTTGTAGTTTGCTGATCCCTGATCTGCATTAATGGATTTTAAGAGAAACACCATCAGTTTACTGTTTTGGAGTTCATCTTTCTAAGTTCTTCTGTTTCTTTTCCATATCATGCTCATAATTTATTTTATAGTAAAGACTGAATCTGGCTGGGTGCGGTGGCTCACATCTATAATCCCAGCATTTTGGGAGGCCAGGGTGGGTGGATCACCTGAAGTCAGGAGTTCGAGACCAGCCTGGCCAACATGGTGAAATCCCATCGCTACCAAAAATTAGCCGGGCATGATGGCATGTGCCTGTAGTCCCCTGCTACTTGGGAGGCTGAGGTGGAAGAATCACTTGCATCCTGGAGGCAGAGGTTGCAGTGAGCTGGCATGGTGCCACTGTACTCCAGCCTGGAGGACAGAGCGAGACTGTGTCTCAAAAAAAAAAAAAAAAAAAAGGCCAAATCTATACTCTTTTGTATGTATCTAGTATGAATTTTTATTCACCATGGGCAAGATTGTGTGCTAACATGCGAGAGATTAAAAAGTTAGACCTACTTCTTGTTTCGTACATTTTTCTACTTTCCCAATTTCACAATTATTAACATATGTAATCTGAGTGCTTCACTACAATTCACTAAAGAAGAGTGACATCAATAAAAGTTACATTGAACACAAAGTGGATGTTTTCTATTAATCTGTCCTAGTGAAATATTTATATATATCTAGGTCACCCTGCAGCCAGCCAGCTAGGTCACTGGTCAACATTTAAGCCTCTCAAGGGATATTGACTCAAAGAAGAAAACTTGGGCATCAGAGAGACCACATATAATACATTTTTCTGTTTCATTAGGTAAGCATGGTAAGAAATATTAAAGTGAAACTTCAGGTATTTCATAGCCTTGATGAATGAGTTCCTTTTGTAAGGCAGATTTCTCCCAGCATAAAATATTTTTTATTGGAGATATCATTAAACAGCACTGTGTACTTGTCAGCCTTTTAGTACAGAAGCCAATGCGCATATTTAAGTTGACCTAGACGACAGGGTTAGCTCCAACTCATCTTTCTCATGTCCACTGGCATACTCCTAATATGTACATAGAAGCTTATCTGCCCAATGGGCAGCCACAGCTTCCACGGCTTTACGCAGGGTCTCTTCATCCTCCAGGAACTGCATGCATCTGATGGGCTTCGAGTTCTTGTCCAATTAATAGAAAATGGGAATAGCAGCTGGCAGGTTCTGCTCTGCAGAGACCTTCCAGATGCTTGACAATTCCAGGGAGGCTGTTGCCATGAGCTGTAATCAGTACCTATTTCCCCTTCTTGATCTGGGCAACTATTTCTTCATTCCAAAGGGGCAGAGCTCTGGCAGATGTGTACTTTAGACTCTCACAAGAGGGTAGCTGATCTTCAGTGAGGTCTACATGCCTGCGATCTTTACTGATACTGCTGTAGAAGAGATGACTGGGCTCCATGGGAGGTGGTGGGACATCACAGGAATGCCTCCAGATCTTTACTATGCTTGGCAGCAGTTTCTGCTTTATGGAGGTCAGTAAGACCCCCAGAGTGCCACTCATTAAGGTGCCAAGTCCTCACTACAGGCAGCCACATCAGGTCAGTGCCATCCAGCACTAACCAGAGCATCCAGATTGCTCTCTTTTGCACTAAGATGAAGCAGATGTCAAACTTACAGCCAGCATCTTGCAGCGCCTGTCCCCTGCACTTGCCTCCTTGTGGTCCCCGGGCTCAGGGCAGTGATGTACCAGCCGCTGAAGCAGCCAGGTTCCAGGCACTCTCACCGTGCCAGATCAACAGCTTGCAGGTGGCAGTGGTGGTCAACCTCACCCTCTTTCTGCATTGCTCCATGTATCTGACATTTAAACCAGACTGCTGCCCTTCCCTGAATGAGCCAGGCATGCCAGTGCTTTTCTGCCTTCCCAAACTGCTGCCTCCTGAAGTTCCATTCTTCCAAACCTGTCTCAAAGGCCACTCCCTTTGCAAAGATGGCTCTGAGCCATTCTCTTCTTGTCCACATTTCTTTCAAACCTCTTTTGTGCAATTCACCAACCTTTCCTGGAAGAAAATTAACTATTTATATATCTGCCTCCCTGCAGCAGACTGTGAGCTCTATGAAGGAGACTGGTCTTTGCATCCTCCACAACCTAGAGTTGTGGCTTATGAAAAGAGGATGCTCAACAAATGTTTGTCAGAGTGAAAGGAAATCATCTTAGAGGAGTATACCTGTATCTAAGTTCAGAGGCAAGCTAGCAGGAGACAAAATGACTGCTTTACTGAGTATTGCCCGTTGGTTTGATCTCAGTACGACTCTGTGAGGCCCCCAAGAACCACTATGTGGCAGTAAAGGTAGCTGCGACTCACTCTCTGTCTTAAAAGGACAGAGGTACCTTTAAGGGTCACAGTAGCCTTGGCTGGGCATGGTGGCTCACGCCTGTAATCCCAGCACTTTGGGAGGCTGAGGCAGGCAGATCACGAGGTCAAGAGATTGAGATCATCTTGGGTGAAACCCCATCTTTACTAAAAATACAAAAATTAGCTGGGTGTGGTGGCACGCGCCTATAGTCCCAGCTACTCAGGAGGCTGAGGCAGGAAAATCACTTGAACCTGGGAGGCGGAGGTTGCAGTGAGCTGAGGTCACGCCACTGCACTCCAGCCTGGCAACAGAGCAAGACTCTGTCTCAAAAAAAAAAAAAAAAAAGTTACAGTAGCCTTTTGCAACTAACTTCTCTCCACTCTGTTCTGCAGAAATGCTCTAACTTGGGTCTCGTTTATCTAAAGCTGACGCTTACCACCCTCACTGCATCATCCACTCATGTCAGTTGCTCTCTCCTTTCTCTACTTCCACAGCTTTCTTTATTGTCCTTTGTCCCCTCAGTGGCTTCTCCAGACTTCTCAGCTTTACAGGGAAAGCGGGGGCATGTGGGAGACAGTGTCAATTAAGCAGGATGATCACAGCTGTTAAATCCCAGTGTTGGGTTCCTCTTGCTTACATGAGTGTATTTTATTTCTTTTGCTCCACACAAAGTTAAAGCTGGAGGACCTCAGCTAATTAGTTCAATTTCATCGTTTTACAAGAAAGGATACTGCAGCTGGGAGGTGTTAAGTGACTTGGCCAGTGTTCTTTCTCATCAGGAGCTCTTTTCCTTCTAATTCTAGATCTGGTGCCCTTTGGGAAGCTTAAGGATTATGAAGAACTACTAGAAAACAATCAAGCACTTGGAATACTATATCTCCAGGTCCCTTGAGTGGTACTGATGAAATAGAAATGCAAATATTTTAGGGGAGAACGTTCACATTTGGTAGTACAGTTTGTAAAATCAATACTAACTCAATCAAACATGTACATCTGTCTGTTCTGCACTGCAGGGGATACAAATGGACCAGAAACTTGAATGCTTGTCTTTTTATGAACCTTATCAATTGTATTTTAATCATATTCTTGTTACCTGCTGAATAAAACTCACTTTCTTTTCACTTACGCCTTTTTACCTGAAAACATCATCATGTGTTGAAAATTCCAGCCAATCTTATGCCTTCTGCCCAAGTTGAGGAAGAAGGAGAGCGGGTAGATGTGTGCAGCTCTGCCCAGGAAGATGGCAACCTGACCACAAGGTAGAGGTTAAGGGCCCAACAGTTTCCAGAATGGCATTCCCCACAACCTCCGGCTGAGCATTTTAGGAATGCCGTGACGCCTCATTATAGTCCAGAGAACTGTGCAAAGAAGTCCGCTGTCTAGTTTCCCTTTAGATAAGTTTCTCAGCAACAAAATGGACTCATTTGGCCAACCTTCCCCACCTCCTGATTCATAGAGATCATTTCTAGCTTGTTATACACACTGTTGTAACTTCTTGATTTAATTCAACTGGCATCCATCTATCTATCTATCTATCTATCTATCTATCTATCTATCTATCTATCTATCTATCTAAATCTATCTAAAACGGAGCCCAGAAATAAGCTAAAGGACCACGGCACGAGGGGGCAGTTGAGAGAAGTAAACAGTGTGTGTTGGTCTCTACTAAAAGAAAAAAGCACTAGAAGGAAAAATTGCTAATCCTGTAGTCAAACTATAAAGAAAAAGTTTGCTGGATAAGCACTCGCAGTCTTCATTGGCAAGTAAACATCAGAGACTTTAATGGCTAGGAAGAGCCTGCAAATAACAGGTGGGGAACCTTAAAATATTCGTAACACTAAAAGACATTCAGATCACTCACAAGAACGAACCCAGGGAGATATTTCTCTACTTAAGTAGCTAAAATGTCTTTTGGAGATGCAAGAAAGTGTGGAAAAAGGAACTCTACTGTGGAAACCAAAGAATTCAGGGAAACTGGTCCTTTGTCACTTGCTGAGTTTAGAACAGTGCAACTGAGAGAGCTGCACACTCCCCTGGTCAAAGAAGGGAACCCCTGTGGGAGCCAGAGAACAGGGAGCTTCCGTTTTGGCAAAACACCAGCTGCAGGAACTGCAGCTGTTTCAGACAGAAGCCAGGGCGGAACTATCTTTTCTGTATCCTGCAGGGTAAAGCACTGCCTGTTTTTCTTCCGTTTTCTTTCTGTTTTGTTTTAAGCAGAAGGAACCAGGTAGTGCTTATAAAGCACATTCTATCCCAGAAGAGAAGCAAAAGTCCTTAAGGGGTAAGCAGAAGTTAGGATCTACAGAGGACCCAGCTTGGCCTCCGCCAGGCCCTCATCTGTAAACAGGGCTGTGCTCCCCCTATCTCTCACAGGGTGTCATGCTAGGAATACAAATCAAAACAACATGCAAGGTCTTTTTCAAAACAGAATAAAAACACTGATCTTACAGAGTTTTAGCTATTAGTCTGGTAAGCATGGAAATCCAAGAAATGAGACACCAGTTTAAGTACAGGAGGCTCTCATGAGAAGGATTCCAGCATTGCATTAGGCCAGTGTCACTGTCCAGCAGCTTGGTGAGGATTGGTCATTCATGCACAATAAATTAAGCCCAGAAGAGAAAAACACTCCTTTTTTGCCAGCATTCCAAAACCTAAGGATAATCATGAAGCCTCAAAAAAGGCAAATGGGAATGTCCAGCAATAGGGGACTATGCTCAGTATCTTGAAATCAAGCCCCAGAAAAGTTTGCTTTAATAAAAACAGTATCTGAGGCCAAGTGAGCAAAACCCTCAGCTGTCCATCCACTGCTAGGCACACGAGAGAAGCCAATCCCCCAAACTATGTCTCTTTTCCAGAAACTGCATTTACAATGGGCCCAGACCAAGGAAACAAGTATTTTTCTATTATATATTTTCTTCCCCTCACTTTTCTTTTTCCTTTTCCTCTTTTTAGTGGGGGTGGGGAAGAGTCTTTTCCACCATGATCTGCAACAGCAGGGAAGCTTGACAAAAAGTAGGGGCATTGCCTGCAAGCATCCCCGCGCAGTGTGAGGAAGAGGCAGAGTCCGCCCATGCTGCGGACATAGTCTGGAGCAAGAGACAGAACCTTTGGGTGTCCAAATCACGAAACCTTCTGGATTGGAATTCATGCAGCAATGAATTTTCAGAAATAACACTGGGGACTGACATGGTTGCTAACTTTTAGATTCACCAAAAGGGCATTTTACAAAACAAACTATCACCTGCTGAGCACCGGTTTAACAGAAAGGTCATCTTACACAGAAAAGGCAGAAAGGATGATCTTGGAACACATGCAGCCCTTTAAGTCAAATACATTTAGCGTTATGAAATGCCACTGAAGCCTTTTTATTTTTAATCATAAACATCCTGTGAACTAGCATGGACTTAGTCACCTGTCCAAAACAGAAATAGCAATTATTATTTTATGATCGTTTACGTTATTATTTTATATTATTATTATTATGACTATTATTACTATAGCTTCTCCAACAGAGGTCGTCTCTGCCTGTAGAAAATGGTGGAACAAGAAAAGGATACAAAAGCTCCAATGATGAAAACGGGGCTGAAAACGTGCTTCTGGAAGGTAAACAACGCGAGGCCCATGTAGGAGAAGATAAAGTTCTCTGCCAGGAAATGTAACACCTCAAAGAGCTGCACAGAGAAAGGAAAAGGAAGCTGTAAATCCTGCAGTTCCTCCTTCCCTGGGTTAGCAGGCAACTCATGAGTACCGAAACTCTCTCTTACCTGCTTGGTTCGACTTCTTGATTCCACCGACAGATTGTTGTAGGTGTAATGAGCTTGTGTGATTCCACAGAAAAGGACAGCTACAACACCTGTTAAAACACCCCCCAAAAAGATCAATGGAAAAAAAAAGAGGCAGGGAGAAAATCCCTGTTGGAACAAAAAGTTAAGGTAGGCAAGCCTAGCATATCCAACTTCCTGAATATTTATGAAACTTTCCTATTACTGGGCCGGGTGCAGTGGCTCACACCTGTAATCCCAGCACTGCAGGAGGCCAAGTCGGACAGATTGCTTGAGCCCAGAAATTTGAGATCAGCCTGGGCAACATGGTAAAACCCCATCTCTACCAAAAATACAAAACATTAGCCAGATGTGGTGGCATGGGCCTGTGGTCCCAGTTACTCAGGAGAGCTGAGGTAAGAGAATTGCTTGAGCCTGGGAGGTCGAGGCTGCAGTGAGCCATGATCACACCTCTGCACTCCAGCCTGGGTGACAGAGGGCAACCTTTTAACAACAACAACAAAAAAGTTTCCTATCATAGAACACTCCTACAACCCCTCACCTCTCATATCAACCTTTCTGTCTCCCAACCCTGCCTTTCCTTCAAAGCCAAGTACCTCAACATCCCCCTTTTGTTCCAGTTCTAAGGATATTTCTTGTCTCCTCTAAACTCTTCCAACTACCATCTGGTAGTTGGCATATAGCATTCATTCCCTCAAAGAGACTGTGAGGGCCCATCCAAATTTTTGTCATATTCTTCCCTGTTTTTAGAATGAATGAACTGAATTTCAAACTAATACTTTATATTCATATATATTTTTTGACACAGGGGTCTCACTCTGTCTCAAAAAATATATATGTATATAATCTATATAATCCCACAGTGGATTATATATTATATATCCCTCAGTGGAGGACAGTGGAATGATCTTGGCTCACTGCAGCTTCTATCTCCGAGGCTCAAGTGATCCTCCTACCTTAGCCTCCCGAGTAGCTGGAACTATGGGTGCCTGCCACCACACCCAGCTGATTTTTGTATTTTCTTGTAGAGACGGGGTTTCACCATCTTGCCCAGGCTGGTATCAAACTCCTGAGCTCCAGGGTTCTGCCTGCCTTGGCCCCAAAGTGCTGGAATTATACAGGCATGTGCCACCATGCCTGGTCTATATTTTTACACAGTCTAGGGCTTCAGACAAAATAGATCAAGAGTACTACTCCATTTATCCAAGCCCTGATCTTCTATCTTTCTGGTGAACGGTAACCATTTTGTTGTGCGAGACATCGGACACACCTGGGACTTTGCCTATACATTTATGGATAACTGTTAAATTTTAAGGAAGTGGGGCATTTTGCAATGCTGCATATAAAGATTTGCTACAGTATTTTGAAAGGGTGATAAAAGTATATCCTAAGTACCTAGATTATGTACAGTAATTGTACTTGAATATTCTAATGGAAAAATTCATTTTTTTAAAATGAGAGAATGTGAGGAAGCAAAACCATGTTTCACCACACTAATACTATATGAAACCGACACCATAAAAACATGATACTGAAAAACAATGATTAAGGAGCCCAGAGACACAACAATTAAAAACCGTGTTCACATTCATCTGAGTAGATGCAAAATCACTTTTTTTTGAGACAGAGTTTCACTCTTGTTGCCCAGGCTGAAGTGCAATGGTGCAATCTCGACTCACTGCAACCTCCGTCTCCCGGGTTCAAGAGATTCTCCTGCCTTAGACTCCCGAGTAGATGAGATTACAGGCATGCACCACCACGCCCAGCTAATTTTGTGTTTTCAGTAGAGACAGGGTTTCTCCATGTTGGTCAGGCTGGTCTCGAATTCGCAACCTCAGGTGATCCGCCCACCTTGGCCTCCCAAAGTATACAGGTGTAAGCCACCACGCATGGCACAAAAATCACCTTTTAAAGGACACATATATTTTGCTTGTTATTGCTACTGTTTGTAAAATAACATAGCAACCAAGGGAAATATACAAATAAGATGTAAATAGATTCTTTGCACCTTAACATCTATTTATATAGTTAGAATGAGTACTCAAAAATATCACTGACTTTGGAATGATCAACTTTATCATTAAAATCTAGTTTTTCAGGCTGGGCATGGTGGCTCATGCCTGTAATCCCAGTGCTTTGGGAGGCTGAGGTAAGAGGATCACTTAAGGCCAGGAGTTTGAGACTAGCCTGGACAACATAGCAAACACCATCTCTAAAGATATAAAAAAGTTAGCTGGGTATGATATGTGCCTGTGGTCCCAGGTACTTGGGAAGGTGAAGGGGGAAGATCCCTTGAACCTGGGAGTTCGAGATTCCAGTGAGCTATGACTGCTGTTGCACTCCAGCCTGGGTGACACAGCAAGACCCTGTCTCTAAAAAAAAAAAATTTTTTTTTAATCTGTAGCTTTTTGGAAAGTCTCAAAATCCATTTAAGGCAGAATACTAGCCTTGCTCAGCAATCTTCCATATGGACATGTGCTGAACAGTTAAATGCCATGCAGCTGCTATCCAAAAATTCTTCCCTTCCTTCAAGCTCCCATAGCCCCCACTACAGTGAGGGCAAGCGTGGTCCAAGAGTAGAGAAAACCCACCTGTAAATCCGCAGGCTTCTGCTAAGAGAAATGTGCTCCAGGACATGAGGAAGAAGAGTGCTGTCTCCAGCAGGGGGAAGCAGTGCAGTTTGGTAAACTTGGTCACGTTGGCATTCTGTCAAGGACCCTGTCTCCAGGTACGTGTATCACAGCCACCAAGAACCACACACTCTACTAGCCCAGGACCCCTCCCCAAAGGGCTAGCCTTTCCCTTCAATCTTTTTTTTTCTTTTCTGAGGCTCTAAAGCTGCTGGAGACCTCTTAAGTAATAAAAATTTAGCTTTTCGGTGGAACACAAGTTTTGTGGGGGCTAGAGGGAGGAAGAAACCGGGAGATATTGTTTAATGGGTACAGAGCTGCCATTTGGGATGATGAAAAAGTTCTGAAAGTAGACAGGGGAATGGCTACATGACACTGAATGTACTTAATGCCCCCAGAATTGTGCACTTAAAAATGGTTAAATGACAAATCTTGTTAGATATGTTTTACCACAATTTAAAAAAACTAATCGTGTAGGCCAGGCACAGTGGCTCACCCCTGTAATCCTAGCACTTTGGGAGGCCGAGGTGGGTGGATCACCTGAGGTCAGGAGTTGGAGACTAGTCTGGGCAACATAGTGAGACCCCGTCTCTATTAATAATACAAAAATTAGCTGGGTGTGGTGACACACATCTGTAATCCCAGCTATTCAGGAAGCTGAGAATCACCTGAAACCGGGAGGCAGAGGTTTCAGTGAGCTGAGATTGCACCACTGCACTCCAGTCTGGGCAACAGAGTGAGACTTAGTCAAAAAAACAAAAAAATCATGTAACAAACCAAAAGCCATTGAATTTAAATGGGTGACTTGTATGGTATATAAATTATGTCTCAATAAGGCTGTTTTTAAAATATTCAGCTTTCTAGAAAAACTGGCAACTGGTTTTCCATGTTCCTTGAATGCCCATGGTTCTGAGAGGCACAGTCATGATGCCAGGCTGGCTTGGTAGGTTGGTTGGAGCAGGGTTGTGAAGACAAGGCCTGTGAGACCCTGACCCCTGTGCACCACTGAGGCCGCCTGAGTCCACAACAGGTACCTAATGAAGGCATGGGAAAGAAAGAAATGCACAATTCCTGGGGCAGCTAACAGGTGCTGGTGTCATCTTTTGGGACCAGAGATCCTTCTCATAACAGTGTCATTCAACACAGAGACACCACAGCAACATCTCATGAGGGATTTCACTGAGCAATATACATCTCCGGGGCATCAAAAGGGTCCTTATGAAGAAAGCAATTTAAATCTGCCCTATCCAATGTGGTAACCACTGGCCACATGTGGCTACTGAACAGTTATAATGTGGCTAGTCCAAATTGAGATGTGTGGTAAGAGCAACAAACACACTATATATATATATATATATATTGAGATGAAGTTTTGCTCTGTCAGCCAAGCTGGAGTGCAATGGTGTAGTCTCGGCTCACTGTAACCTCTGCTACCTGGGTTCAAGCGATTCTCCTGCCTCAGCCTCCCAATTAGCTGGGATTACAGGCATGTGCCACCACACCCAGCTAATTTTTGTATTTTTAGTAGAGACGGGTTTTCACCATGTTGGCCAAGCTGGTCTCAAACTCCTGACTTCAGGTGATCTGCCTACCTCAGCCTCCCAAAGTGCTGAGATTACAGGCATGAGCCACTGGCACACACACCATATTTCAAAGGCTTGGCACAAAGATTGGATGTATAAAATCTCAGTAATTATTTTTATCATAATGTTATTTTTTCCCATATCGATTACATGTTGGAATGACATGGTTTAAATTACATTAGTAATGCCCACCAAAGAGATATGATGCAGGACTCAGCACACCTGTGAGGGGGTGCCTGCTCTTGCCACACTGTTTTTTTTGTTTTGTTTTTGAGAAAAGCTGGCATAAAACACTTTTATTGCAAATAATAAAATTCGAAACTCATATGTGGTGCTGTGGGGAGGGGGCTGCAATGATTTATCTCACCAAATCACTACACAGGACAGCAAAGGGGTGACAAGGGGCTGAGGGAGGAAAAGCCAGGAAACTTTGAGATCAGCAGAGGGAGCCAAGCATCGAAAAACAGGAGATGCTGAAGCTGCAATGGCCAGCAGCATTCTTAAGAGAATGTCCAAGGATTTGTCATGATGGCTGGGCTTTCATTAGGTGTTAAGTCTACAAACAGCATCTTCAATTTAAACTGTCAACTAAAGTTCTTAAGATTTAGGAAGTGGTGGAGCTTGGAAAGTTATGAGATTGCAAATTCCTGAAAGTCCATTAGAAAAACCACAGGATGGAAAAAAAAATAAGGCACAAAGAAGGCTTCAGAGGTCCCTGCTGGCCCAGGGACAGATACCTGTAGTGCCCAACATCGCAGTGAAAATGATCTGCTTTCAAAGGCAGAAGGTTTAAGGGGAGGGAGGGGTGGGACTGGTGGAGGCAAAGGCTCTCTCCATCCTCACCTTAGTTTTAGGTAGGACTTTTAATTTAACTCAAAACATCTCTCAACTTGGAGAATAATTTAGCCCTCCATCGTGCCTCAAATCTGCTACGGCTTTGCAACACAGCAGCAAGAATGTTTAATATATAAAGGATTAAAATTTCATCCAAAAAATTAAGATATTCTTGCACCCCCCCATACGAATTCCTGTTTTAAAGTTAAGCTATCACTTGTGCTGTTTATACTTGAACATGTACTTAATTGGAAACCTAGATCCAAAAGACTGAAACTGAATCTTCACCCCAAAATGAAAACAAAATAAAATGAATAACTTGAGGTTTACATGGCATATAGTTTAGGTAAACACACATATGAAGGGAAATGGGAAGAGAAAATGGATGGGTCAGAAGCAAAGCTGAGTGACAGAACACATTCAGTCAGGGCAGATGTCTATACAGAGCAGAGTGGAACATCAGGAAAAGCTCCATATGGATTCATGTGCACGGATCTGGAGGCACCAGATCCCTCCATGGCAGATCCAAGAACAAGGAGCTAAGGGAGGAGGCCATTCCTGTCACTCCAGTTTTAGAAGCTCCACATCGAAGATGAGAGTGGCACATGGTGGGATGATGCCTGGGTGCCCAGTGGCACCATAGGCATAATCTGGAGATACAGTCAGTTTGGCTCTCTGACCCACACTCATCTGCGCAACTCCTTCTTCCCAGCCTCTCATCACCTCCTGCTTGCCTAGCATAAACTTAAAGGGCTTGTTTGTGTCCCAGGAGGAATCAAATTTCTTTCCATCTTCAAGCATCCGGGTATAGTGCACCACGCAGGTCTGGCTGCACTTCGGGAAGGTGCACCCGTCTCCTGGGGAGATGGTTTCCACCTGCACTCCCATGGCGGTGGCAGATGCTGGGTAGGCAGGCAGCGGGATGGGCAGCGTGGACCGATAGCATCCACACTTTGTTTTTTAGTTTGTTTTAACTAAATACTGGGCCATTCTTTGTTTATGGAAGGCCACCAATTAGCTATCACCACATAACACCATGCGGCCCTGAACAGCAGGTGGCAGCAGCTAGCTGGCACTAAAGTACTTCCCAGCCAGTAGTCCCTGATTCCCAGCCTCCTCCTGGCTCCACAGCTCTTTTGGCCCCCCTGAAACCAATGTTCCAATTGGATCACAAGGAACGGAGAGAAAAAGCAAAGGTGAAGACAGAGTGAAGTCTAAGGTTGCATTCCTAAATGTTTTCTCAGACTCTCAGCTAAAGACCCAATCATCACGCTTCAACAAAGTGACATATTTTAGGAGCCATCACACCCCAGTGAATAGTCAATGTAAGATTCTGATTTGAAAGAACACCTGAGAACTTTCTTTTTGAAAGTATAATGCCACACACACATACCCAGACAGGAGCCGAAACTACAAAAAGGATATTAGAGCAGTCACAACACCAGTCACAGCTCCCATGGTAAAAGAGCCACTAAATATACCTAGAAAAATGCCAACTGACTTAAAAAAGGCAGCAGCATCAAAGGCATGAGTGTTCAGTCCTGCTGGCTGGTAGGCAACAATAGACCTGAAGTTTAAAAAGAAGAGAGAGTTTTTTTTAAAAAGACTGCACTGGTTTTACACCATGGTACCTGAAAATATCGACAAACATAGGTATCCACATTTTGCCAAGCATTGGCCAGGGCAAATTCATTTAATTTAATCTGCAGCCAGCACTGCCCAGGGCAAATTCACTTAATTTAATCTGCAGCCACCATGTTACGCTGGCATCAGCATCTGATTGCTGCTGGGCACACAAAGCAATGCAATTTTATCCACAAAGCTGATAAATCTCATTTAGAAAAACGCCCAATTCAATATTTAACACATTTAAGATGAGCCTCTGAATTTTGCCCAAAGCATACAGGAAACCGTGATGTCTCTTCCCCAGAAGAAACATTGCTACTTACGAGGACAGTACAATAGCAACAGCATCATTTAGGACGCTCTCTCCAAACAGAAGTGCGTAAAGATCCACGTCTGCATGCAATTCATTAAATATTGCCAGCACAGTCACTGAAAAGTGAGTGGAAAGCACAGAAATTAGTTTTGGTTTCTGACCTTAAACCACTGATTACAGATTTATAGAGGCAATTCCTATCTTGAGTAGGACTGGGTGGTTCAAGAGACAGCTAGGGAGTCAAAGATGAACTTGCCTATCTGTGGCAGAAATGAAAATGGCAATCTTCCATATCTGAAGGAGCTTTGAGATGATGCTTGAGTCTAATGACACTGCACCAAAACACTATGCTTTCCACTGTGATCCCATCACACTTTGAAAGTATCTGTTATATAACTTCAAAAAATAAAGAAAATCAATGTGATTTGGCTTCACCAGTGGGTTGAAATCTCTTTGATTTCTCTGGCTCAATAGAGCCAACATTAAAATAACAAAGTTATTACAAAAGTGATTAATGAGATTTTGGCTGGGCACAGTGGCTCACACTTGTAATCTCAGCACTTTGGGAGGCCGAGACAGGTAGATCACCTGAGGTCAGGAGTTTGAGCCCAGCCTGACCAACACAGTGAAACCCCTTCTCTACTAAAAATACAAAATTAGCCAGGCATGGTGGTACACACCTGTAATCCCAGTAACTTGGGAGGCTGAGGCTGGAGAATCACTTGAACCTGGGAGGCAGAGGTTGCAGTGCACCAAGATTGCACCATTGCACTCCAGCCTGGGCAACAAGAGCAAAAACCCATTTCAAAAAAAAGATTAATTAGATATTATAAATTCCAACTTTGTGCCAAGCCTTCAAAATATGGTGTGCGTGTGTGTTGCTTAAAATAATAACAGGTGGCAGGGGTGGGGGCATATTGCCCCTGGTTGAGAACCATCCCTCTAGATACATGAACGCAAGCTGTGTTTTCTCTCAACACTTATACCCAACTACCCTCTCTCGATGGTTTCTACCATAGGACTGCAAAAACTAAACATTCACTTTCCCAGCTTCCCTTGCAGAAAGCCCCACCTCTTCCTGTCGGGAAGAGGGCAGAGAGGCCAGACACCAATGCAGTCATCTTTCCTCCATGCAGCGACTGATGTGTGACTGAAACCTCAGAGCAGTGCAGCAGAAAGACTGAGTGCCTGGATGCCTGATTGTAGTGGAAGCTGTGACATCAACTCAGTACTGGTACCCAAGATAAATATCTACTTGTTTAAGCTGGGATTAGCCAGGTTTGTCTGTTCTTTGCAGCCAAAAGCATTACTAATTGATACAATTAGGAAACCAAGCCAAATAAATGTTTAGTGAGCTATTATAAGCCAACCAGTCTTGTAACCACCCCCGAGTCCAGTTCAAGAAATGGAACTTTCTCAGTCCTCCATATGTCCCATCCCAATCTGAAGCCTCTTCCTTCATTTAAAGGGAACCACTAACCTAAATTTTATGGTCATCATTTTCTTGCCTTTCCCTATAATTTAGTCACCCAAATGCACATTCCCTGACACTATCGTTTGGTTTTGCTCACTTCAAAAAAAATGCGCTTTTTACATCTTTTTATTCTATAGGTTCCCCTTCCATTCCTTACTGTTGGCTTTTGTCCCATAATGCCCTAATGTTTAGTTCCCTCATGTCTGAATTTTCCAGTCCTTTTTTTTTTTTTTTTTTTGAGACAGAGTCTTGCTCTGTTACCCAGGCTGGAGTGCAATGGTGCAAACTCAGCTCACTACAACCTCCGCCTCTGGGTTCAACCAATTCTCCTTTCTCAGCCTCCCAAGTAGCTGGGATTACAGGTGCGCACCATCATGCCTGGCTAATTTTTTGTATTTTTAGCAGAGATGGGGTTTCATTATGTTGGCCAGGCTGGTCTTGAACTCCCGACCTCAAGTGATCTGCCTGCCTTGGCCTCCCAAAGTGCTAGAATTACAATTGTGAGCCATGGTGCCTGGCCTGAATTTTCCATTCCTGATGCATGCAGTTCTTTCATAACTTCTATCACATTCTTAATTTCCTTTAGCTGCTTGTGGAATATTAATAAAGTTTCACCTTTTAGGGGCCTATTTTTCTTCTGGTATGACTCTATTAACTGTAGCTTTATTATTCAGAGGGTTTGTTCTCATATTTCTCTTACAATATGTTTGCACGAAGTTCAACCTCAATCCATTTCTGTTGCTCGTAATTAAGTGAGGTGTGTAAGGGGTAGGAGTGGGCCCAGAAGAGCTCTCGTAGTTTCATGGCTCCAGGGCTCCCTCTTCTGGCCTCTGGGCCAGGCATGGTGGTTCACACCTGTAATCCCAGAACTCTGGGAGGCTGAGGTGGGTGGATCACCTGAGGTCGGGAGTTCCAGACCAGCCTGACCAACATGGAGAAACCCCATCTCTACCAAAAATATAAAATTAGCTGGGTGTGGTGGTATATTCCTGTAATCCCAGCTATTTGGGAGGCTGAGACAGGAGAATCACTTGAACCCGGGAGGCAGAGGTTGCAGTGAGCTGAGATCACGCCACTGCACTCCAGCCTGGGCAACAAGAGTGAACTTCCATCTCAAGAAAAAAACAAACAAACAAAAAAAAAACCATGGCCTCTGGGTATGGCCACCTTCTCAATACTTTCTGAGATCCACTGCTTCTGGCCTTCTTCTCCTTTAGTGTCTGAGCTTTCTTCCTCCTTTCATGCCCTGTCAATCAGGGTTTATGGTCTTAGCAGTTAGTTTTTGGGGAGCAACTCTGTCCTTCCAGAAATATCTTTGCTGGGTATTTCTGAGAGCCCTGACCACTCATGCCACTCCTGCAGCCTCTAATCTCCTCTAGTCTCCTTCCATTTACCCACAAATTGGTGCCTGTAAAGTTCCCTCCTGTTTTTAACTATGATCAGATATGCCCACAAACCTCTTTATTCTCAGTAGGGATCCCTCCTTTTGAGAATAAACACTTGTGGAATATTTTTAGGTTCCCTGACAGTCAAAATGATCAGCACCCCCTTTTCTCCTCTGCACAGTTGCTATTTCAGTATGCAAGTCTCACTGCTGGTAGTAGATAGTGGGATGCCCTGTCCATAAGTTTCATTTTATTTTATTTTTAAGACAAAGTCTCACTATGCTGCCCAGGCTGGACTTGAACTCCTGGGCTCAAGTGATCCTCCCATCTCAGCCTCCTAAGTAGCTGGGATAACAGATACATGCCACCATGACTGCCCTGGTTAGCTCTCTGTGTTTTTTCTTTTGCTGTCTTTCTGCATTCTTGTTAGGGATTAAGGGAGATTTCAAAATGACACTATTCTCATCATACCTTCCTTTGAAAAAGTTTATTTATTGAGGGTAAGCAAACATAATTTGGACTTGAAAAATGTCTACTATGTCATGAAGCTACTCTGCATTATTATAAACCAAGGAGCTAAAATCACTACTTTATGCATTCAGACACTAACCAGACATCAATAGGATGCATGCCCATCAGCAGTTCTTAAAGGACATGTCATCTTCATAATACAGATGTTAACACAAGATGCAAAGTTAATCTCTTACTTTCATCCTTAAATACAGCTCAGCAGGTTACACAATAGGAAAGATCTTTAGGAATTAATCTTTACAAAGTTATTTTCTGTATTATTTATTACATGAGAAATATTTACATGAAACTTTTACTCTAGGAGTTTATTATAATATGACATAAGAATTGGCTTATTTTAACCCAATGTTGAGGAAAAATGAACAGTGATAACGAAAATAATTATTGAGCACTTACCATGAAGCAGGCACTATGCTAGGCCATTTAGTTCTCATAAAACCCTATATGGCGGGTAGTGTTCTCCTTTCCCCCAATTCAGAGATTAAAGAAAACAGGCCCTGTGTGATGGGCTGCTTTATGCTGCAGTATCAAAATTCCTCTGAATCTCAGTGATTGATTACATGAGAAATCTTCTTCCTCACCCATATAGCATGTGCACTGTGGGTTAGCACAGGAGGCCTCTATTCACATCAACCCCCCAGGGACTCAATACTGATAGAGGCTGATCTTGATGAACAGCCCAGGCTTGGCAGGCCAGGAGCCCTGGGTCCTAAGGCTCCTTCAGTAAGGGTCCTGGCAGAAAACAGATGGCACCCTCAAACTGAACAATTTGAGGAGAGTTTAATAGAGAAGTTATTTATAAAAGTGAGGGCAGAGTATGGGGAAACCACAAGAGAGAAGGCAGTACTTGTGGCTGGAATTGGGGAGTTTTTGTTCATTGCTAGGCTGAAGGCTCCAGGAAAAAGAGTGATTACCAGAACCTGGAGCTATACAGAGAGGGTGCCTCACAGGAGCTATGGCCTCTGATCAAGGGATGCAGATGGTCTGCCTGAATCCTGTATCTTCATGCTTTTCCCAGGCTCCCACTGGTGCTCCCCCTTAGACAAACCCAATAGGAAACCAGAAGGCAAAGGACCCTCTGGCATGTTCCGTACAAATCAGCCTCCGGGGGCCAGGAGGAGGGTGGAGCGGGGTGGTGAGTCAATCATCTGCAGGGTCAAGCAGAAGACACCCAACACAGCCACTACTGGCCAAGAGGGCTCAGCATACAGCAAAGTTGGAGGATTTAGTTAAGTGAGGGTCTGAGCTACATGGGCCCCAAAGGCCTTCCAACTTTTGAACACGGTTTTCCTGAAATACTAGTTACTTATGGTTAAAAAAAAGAAAAAGCAGTATATACTTAATTAATTTATTCAAGACTAAAAAGCACATTTATTTATTTGTTTGTTTGTTTGTTTGTTTATTTATTTATTTTTTGAGACGGAGTTTCACTCTTGTCACCCAGGCTGGAGTGCAATGGCGCGATCTCGGCTCACTGCAACCTCCACCTCCTAGGATCAGGCAATTCTCCTGCCTCAGCCTCCTGAGTAGCTGGGATTACAGGCACGCGCCACCATGCCCAGCTAATTTTTTGTATTTTGAGTAGAGACGGGGTTTCACTGTGTTGACCAGGATGGTCTCGATCTCTTGACCTCGTGATCCACCCGCCTTGGCCTCCCAAAGTGCTGGGATTACAGGCTTGAGCCACCGCGCCCGGCCATTTATTTATTTTTTTTGAGACAGGGTCTTGCTCTGTTGCCCAGGCTGGGGTATGGTGGTGTGATAATAGTTCACTGCAGGCTGGAACTCCCGGGCTTAAGCAATCCCCCACCTCAGCCTCCCAAGTAGACGCGACCACAAATGTGTACCACACATGGCCTAAAAGCATAATTAATAATAATAACAATAAAAACTTACATAGCACTGATCTAAGTTTCAACTTCTCATTCTCCCTGCTCATTATCCTCGCAAAACAGATCAGGAACCCTGATGTGCTCCTCCTGAGCAAGTCTGTGCCTGACCACGAGGAGGAATGTGGGTGTTGACAACTGGAAGACGATGGGATAGGGATGACAGACTAGGTAAGTGGTTTGTAATGGGAGAGATGAAACTGATTGCCCTCCTCCCTACAGCAGGACCCTTGAAATCAGGGTGAGCAGGGTCACAGCTGTTTCCAACTGGACACAGACTGAGAAATCACAATTAACTAACTGAAGACCACTGGGTGCAGGCAGTGGGAAAAACAAAAGAATGGCAGATATATGAAGAAGGAAAAACTCAAGGACCTAAATTTGTTCATTTGACTAACTTTTCTTGAATACTTCATCCGTGTACTCAAGGGCACTTAGCACTTGTGAGCACTCAATACAAAGTGGCAAGTACTGTCGTGTACAACACAGACCTAACTCAAAGATCTGAGGGAGCAGATATTGAAGGAGTCTAGGAAGAGTGATTAGGCAGGTAGCACATTTGAACCAAATCCCAAAGGATGAGCAAAAGACTGACCAGCCCAAGTGATGCAACTAGAGAAATGGTCTTGGACAACACAGATCCCAAATCATGAAACCCGTGCCGAGTGTGGTGTCTCAGGCCTGTAATCCCAGCACTTTCAGAGGCCAAGGCAGGCGGATCTTTTGAGCTCAGATGTCTGAGATCAGCCTGGCCAACATGGTGACACCCTATCTCTACAAAAAATATAAAAATTAACCAGGCATGCTGGTAATCCCAGCTAATCTGGAGGCTGAGGTGGAAGGATCACTTGAGCCCTGGGAGGTCAAGGCTGCAGTGAGCTGAGGTCATGCCACTGCATTCCAGCCTGGGCGACAGAGACCCTGTCTCAAAAAAATATAAATAAATGAATAAATGAATGAAATAGAAATCTGTGAGTCAGGCTGATTGACTCAAAGAGTACAAAGGTGATGAATTAAAATTGGGGAGATGACATCATGATGGCTCACAGGAAGGAATAGTACTTGTGTTCTCCAGTGGCTGCCTAGGAAGGCATCACAGGGAGGAAATGTGGTTTTTTCTTTAACTGTGGGTCTATCTAAAACAAAAGCCCACCAAGATGGCACACAGCAGCCATGACACATGACCACAGAACAGAGAAGGCTCCCTGTCACAATGCAGCCTACACTATCCCACACATACTATGTCACCTTCGACCAGAAGGCTAATCACTCATGTCTGAAGCCAAGTACAAGGACAAGGATTCTTATTCCTTCATATCATCAGTCAATACCACTCTGTATCCTAAAATTATAAAGTTTTCTGTTTTATTTTTTAAAGACAAGATCTTGCTCTGTCGCCCAGGCTGAAGTGCAGTGGTGCGGTCACAGCTCACTGCAGCCTCAAACTCCTGGGCTCAAGCAATCGCCTTGCCTCAGCACCCCCGCCATGAGCAGCTGGGACTATAGGCATGTACCACCATGGGCAGCTAAATTAAATTTTTTTTTTGTGGGGATGAGGGTCTGCTATGTTGCCCAGGCTACCAATATCAGAATTTTTGCTTGATGCACCAGGCACTAGAAGTCAATCTGGTCTTGAGATCCTTAACTCTGCACTTAAGCTTTTATCTCTTTTATGACCCAAGTTTTCAAACAACAGATTTTTTGGAGGCTGGCAAAACACTTCTAATTTCCAAAAACATTCTACATTTCAGGAAGATTTCTATTAAAAAAAGCAGTTAAAGTTAATGTCCTGATGTTTAACAAGTTTAAACTTTCAATTATCTAGAACTTCCATTTCTATAAAACCCTTACTGTGCCAATCTCCATAGGCCAAGTAAAAATGGAGTAGCATGGTAATGCCTTCCATTATTTTCTACCATAGCATAGACACATTAAAGGGAAGTAAACAATTATAAAGATAATCTGGAAAAGTAAGCCTCTCTATCCAATTAAATGAAGCAACACTGATAGCTCAGGAAACAATATCAATCTTTATGTTACATTAACTTCCCTTTACTTATTAGTGGTACTAGTAAGATATTAGTAATAGAATTATAGATGAGTATCGTTAGAAACACATTTTCAGACAGAAAAACACCTTTCTCAGGTTTATGAAGATCTATTTCTCCATAGACACATATCTGGAGACAGTCACAGACAGCACAGGATTAAAATAATAAAGCTGATTTTCAGAGATCTCTTTGGAAACATGCTTGGGTTAAGAGATGATCTGTTATTTATTTTTTAAACATGAGGAAAACTGGGAAATCTCTGCCTGAGTCATATGTGGACATAAACCAGCATCATTTGGACATGGTACACTCAGTGCCTTACACACGTTGTTTGATTTCATCTTCAAAACAGCCTTAGGAAATAGGTGCCATCATTTCTCCTTTGTGGATGAGGAAACTGATGTGAGGGGATAATGTGTGCCTAGGCCACCTGATCAGTGATTGGCAGGGTTAGAACTCAACCCAAGGCCCATGACTCCAAATCCCACCTTTTCACAAACCACAGTGCCTCGACAGCCAAGTCTTCATACTAATTTACTCAGGGTGTTTGTAATAAAATATGAAGGTAAGAGAGGTCAATATTTTTTTGGAACATCGAGATTCTTCAGAACCACTTCAGAACTGTCTAGAGTTATGCTGTTTGATGTGGTAACCACTAGCTACATGTGGCTATTTACATTTAAATTACTTAACATTGGCCAGGCGCAGTGGCTCATACCTATAATCTAAGCACTTTGGGAGGCCAAGGTGGGCAGATCACCTAAGGTCAGGAGTTCGAGATCAGCCTGACCAACACAGTGAAACCCTGTCTCTACTAAAAATACAAAATAAGCTGGGCATGGTAGTGCATGCCTGTAGTCCCAGCTACTTGGGAGGCTGAGGCAGGAGGATTGCTTGAACCCGGGAGGTGGAAGTTGTGGTGACTGAGATCGTGCCATCGCACTCCAGTCTGGGCAATAAAAGTGAAACTCTGCCTCAAAAAAAAATTACTTAACATTAAATAAAAGTTAAAATCAGTCTCCCAATTGCACTACCCTACATTTCAACTGCTCAAAAGCTACATGTGACTACTAGTTACCACAATGGACTGGGCAGACTGTAGAACATCTCTATCTTGAAAGAAAGATCTATAAGATATCACGAATGGAGAGGACCCCCCAGGGGACATGGTCAAGTGGGGTATCTTAGTATCTCTAAGGTTATTACAGTTCAGAATATTAGAGGGCATTGGAGACAAAGAGTGGACCTTTCTATCTCCACTGTGAGGACAGGAGCAGCTCATTCTCCAGAACTTCTTTCCCTAAGGTGTACTCTCAATAGCTGACACCAAGGAAGAGAATGGCTGTAACTACTTTATGCAAACTGATCAAATTACAAGTTCCAACTTGGAAAGGAGAACATTTTTGTTTGTTTTTGAGCTGCGAGGGAGGAGCGGTATGTAATAATTCACTTGTAAGAATTGGTTCAAACAACACTTGAAAAATACAAAGCAAGGGATTGATGAATAGAAAACCATGTCACAGTGCATGCTCCTGCTGGAATGCTGAACAAAAGGAGTTTACAAATTAAATTACATTCACTACAGATAATCATGTGTGTTTCTACTAAGAAAAGGTATTATTTAAACCAAATGATATGTTGCAGAAAAGAAGGCAAAAGGACAACACTGGGAAAGAAGACAATCTAAGTGTAAAAATTATGACCAAATTAGTCATTCTAAGATCAAAGGTAAAACATGCTATACAGATACAATGAATTTTTTTTTTCTTTTGAGATGGAGTCTTGCTCTGTCGCCCAGGCTGGAGTGCAGTGGCGCAATCTTGGCTCACTGCAACCTCTGCCTCCCAGGTTCAAGCAATTTTCCTGCCTCAGCCTCCTGAGTAGTTGGGACAACAGGTGCCCGCCACCATGCCTGGCTAATTTTTATAGTATTTTTAGTAGAGACGGGATTTCACCATGCCAGCCAGGATGGTCTTGATCTCCTGACCTTGTGATCCGTCTACCTCGGCCTCCCAAAGTGCTGAGATTACAGGCATGAGCCACTGCGCCCAGCCACAATGCAGTGTTATTTAGCCTTAAAGGTTAGGAAATTATGACAAATGTTATAACATGAATGAACTTTCAGGACATTAAAGTGAAATAAGCCACTCACAAAAGGATAAGTACTGTATGATTTCACTTGTATGATGTATCTACAGTAGTCAAATGCATAGAGACAGAAAGTCACAGGTAGTTGCCAGGGGCTGCAGGGAAGGGGGACTGGGGAGTTGTTGTTTAATGGGTATAGCATTTCAGTTTTGCAAGATGAAAAAGTTCTGGGGATTGGTTTCACAATGATGTAGGTATACTTAATGCTACTGAAGTTGTTAAGATAGTAAATTTAATGTCAGGCATTGTTACCACAAAAAAAATTAATAATAGAAAAGGAAATTACATGCCCTTCTTAGAAAAGCCATCTAACTATAGTCCCACTGCTTGGGACGCTGAGGCAGGAGGATTGCTTGAGCCTGGGAGGTCAAGGCTTCAGTGAGCTGTGATTGCACCACTGCACTCCAGCCTGGGCAACCCAGGGAGAACCTGTCTCAAAAAAGGAAAGCCATCTAAGTCTGTTAGACTCACCTATTGTTTATTTGTTCCACCACCATGCCATGCAAATAAATACTACATTCTCCCTACTGCAACAAAAGTTAATACTTGCTCTGAACTTTTAAAGATTGAAGTAATGGAATACCATAATGATAAAGCCAAATACACAAAGCCAAATACCTGGGTCAGTGGCAGAGATGATTGCTCCAAAAAAGAGACAATCTGTGTAATAAAATTTATCTGAGAGCTGTCCCATAATCTTCATGAGCTTCACCACACCATACATGAGATTTCTGTAAGAAGGTAAAGCAAACTATGTCAGGAGAAAAAAATAAGTAACTTAGCAAACATGCAAGCAGCATAGTACTAGAATACTACTCTTAGCGATTCATGAAAATAACAGGCAGTTGCCAGGGTTGGACACTTACTTTGGTACCAAGTAATAGTTTGCAGTTAATGTCATCTTGCTGAAACATCTGAACATTTCATTTTTAAAAGTTATACTTGCTAACAACTAAAGCAACCATGAAGCACAGTCTTTAATTAGCAACAAAACTAAGGCATTTTAAGCAACTGGGTAATACAGGGAAAAGGAAGAAACAGAACCTGGCATAATGTTTTCGTAGCAATAAGTTGCTACAAAACACAGAATTCTAAGATAATGCATTTAAAGTCAGAGAAATCAGTAGACTCGATGAAACTGGAGAGAAAAAAAAAATGGGCTGGTCAGAAAGATCCAAAGGATTGATCTACTACTGCCTTCTCTGCCAAGAATTATTTCAAAGAAGGGAAAAAGAGGCAAATATCTTTAAATGTCCTATTAGAATGTCTGCATACCCATCAAGATATCTGGCCTCTCACTCTTTGCATGGGTCGGGCAGGCAGCAATATCCCTCCTTAAGCTATGTAGACTGTGACATGATCTAAGAGGGACTATCACGTTACATTTTTCAGCTTGGCGGGAGCACATTTCCTACAGGACAGCTTGCAAATTGGGAGGAGGGAGGAAGAGTGAGGATTGTGAAAAGGCCTAGTACATACTACAAGGGTATGTGTGCGTGCACATGTGTGCACATGTGCACACGCAAGGTGGCAGCAGCAGTGATAGCAGCAGCTGCAGGGGTTAGAGGAGTGAAATAACATGGACTTGACTCATTATACTCTACAGCCAACCCTCTAATAATGAGATTCTTGATGTCATTGCCCACCGTTGTGTCTCAAATTCTTAGAAGAGTGGACTAGCTAAGCTAGGAGCAAAAGAACTATTCACAGAATGGAATTCTTTTGAGAAGAAAGAACTATAACTTAATGTTTGCCTATTGTGTGCCAGACACTGTTCTAGATACTTAACCAGTTCAATTTCATTTCACAGCAATTGTATGTTACAGATTTGATTTGCCCTTTGTTGCTTATCAAAGGCTTCTTTCATGTACCCTTTAAACATTCCAGGAACAAGACCTTCTTCTCCATTTCCTTTCACCACAGTCCATGACTTACACAATAGACTTCTTCAGCAGCCTTTTCCCCATTTTGCTTCCTATCATCTCTAATGCCAGTTATATAACCTGTCATTCTTCAATAATGTGCCATCTCTTAAAGGATAAGTCCAAGCCCCTCCTGTTTTGATGGTATAAAAGGCCCCTGCTATTATCTCCAGGTTTCTAGCTAATTGTTAAAAAATTAATTAAAGTCCTAACTTTATTCAGATTTTCTTAGTTTTTAACCTAATGTCCCTTTTCTGTTCCAGGATCTTATCCAGGATACCACAGTGACATTTAGTCATCAAATCCCTTTCGTTTCCTGACGGCTGTGACAGTTTCTGAGACTGCTCATTTTTGATGACCTTGGCAGATTTAAGGAGTACTGGTCAGATATTTTGTAGAAAGTCCTTCGACTAAAATTTGTCTGATTTTTTTCTCATGATTAAACTGAGATAATGTGGTTTTGAGTGGAAGACCAGAGAGGTAAAGCACCCTTCTCATCACACATATCAAGGTGCATACTATCAACGTGACTTACCACTGCTGACGCTGACTTTGATCACCTGGTTGCGGTAGTATTTGTCAGGTTTCTCCACTGTAAAGCTACTCTTTTTTCCTCCTTTCTGTACTGTACTCTTCAGAAAGAAGTCACTATGCACAGCCCACACTCAAAGAGGGAGTGGGAGGGGACTGAGCTCCACCTCCTCGAGGGGGATTATCTACATGAAGTATTCGGAATTCTTCTGCACAGGAGATTTGTCTTTTCTCCCCCATTTATTTATTCATCCAGTCACTTATTTATATCCATATGGACTCAGGGATATTTACTTTATGCTCTTGGGGATAATCTAATACAATGTTATTTGTTTTGTTGTTCTTCAGCCATTGAGGGGGCTTTGACCATTACAGGGGCTTTCACGTTGGCTCTTGTGTCCCTTGACATCCCCTACATTGCTTTGTCTGTTTTCTGAGCACTTCCTTACTTTCTGGCATTACAAGATACTCCATTTTTATCTTGTATATTTCCTGCCCCAGCCCTAGAATTAACCATTTCTGCAAGGGACTCTGGTTCTTTTTATCAAAGAATGATAATAGAAACCAAGATCTGGGTATTGAGTATAATTTTATTTCATTTTAATTTATCTTAATTTAAATAGCCACATGGCTAATAGCTATGATACTGAACAATGTAGCTCTCGATCCTGACTGCCATCATCAATAATATCAAAATACTGGACTCTGTGGACCCAGATGGATCTCATCTCTATGGAACATGTGTAATTTGGTTATATGACAAATGTTCACTTACCCAATAATGAAGCACGAAACAGCAGTCCCCAAGAAGGCATAGGCCAGAATAGACCCGAGATTTCTAAAAAAGTGTCTCTGAACAAAACAAACAAAACCCAAGAATCACATTGTGATTTTTGACAATGAGCTTAAGAAACACATAAAAAGTCTCTAAAAAGTGGAACTCTACTTACTGCTTCCATTACATTAAGTAACATCTGAAGTTACTCCTATATGTTGCTATTTAACTTTAGACATCACAGTTTTTTTTTTTGTTTTTTTTTTTTAAGATGGGGTTTCACCTTGTTAATCAGGCTGGTTTTGAACTCCTGACATCAGGTGATCCACCCGCCTCAGCCTCCCAAAGTGCTGGGATTACAAGCGTGAGCCACTGCGCCCAGCCTGCCATCATGGTTTTAAGTTATCTTCTGTACAGCTAGGTACTAAGCAAGTAAGCAAGGACTTAGTAAATTTTCAGACAAAACTGCTCTGGATGATTACATTAAATCACATTAAGTGTGTGTATATGTTTGTGCATGTCTGTGTGTGAGTAGATCAATCATTTTTATAGATTTAACCCACACCATTTTACTTGGTGATTTAGCACGTCTCTTCCAGTTCTGGTGGTACCTCAGAAGATCATTACAAATAGAAGCTTGAAACAAACACAGTGTGAAGGTGCTATGTCATGAGCTTTCTGTTTAATTTAATATCAGAAAACAAACAGAGTCCTAAATATCTGCTCATGGAACCTGAAGTGTCTGCCTATATAATTATCTAGATTAATCTCTGAAGCCTAGGAAACAAGGAAAAGAGAGATGGATATGGAGAAATTAGAAACAGATAGTTCCATTTAAGATGGTCGAATTTACACAGGAAGAAACAGACATCAATATCACATCTAGAAATTATTCAGAATGAGGTTGCAAAACTGCAATCCTTTCAATGTTTCTGCACATTGGTTACCTTAAAAATATAAACACATGCAGTGGCTCACGCCTATAATCCCAGCACTTTGGGAGGCGAGGCGGGTGAATCACGAGGTCAGGAGATCAAGACCAGCCTGAGTAACATGGGGAAACCCTGTCTCTACTAAAATACAAAAAATTAGCCAGGCATGGTGGTGCATGTCTGTAGTTCTAGCTACTTGGGAGGCTGAGGCAGGGGAATCGCTTGAACCCGGGAAGGGGAGGTTGCAGTGAGCCGAGATCATGCCACTGCACTCCAGCCTGGTGATAGAGCAAGACTCCATCTCGAAAAAAAAAAATACACACACACACACACACACAAGAATTTACTTGTCTTACCATGTTGTGTTTGAAGGATTTACTTGTTACAGGTCACTAGGCTTGTGGGATATTCCAACAGAGGAAATTCTGCCTGTTCCTGGGATCCTAAGCCACAGTTCTGCCTCCTCAAGGCATAAGCCATTCTCATTTGACAATCAGAACTGTTTAACAACAACAGACAAACAAAATCCCCCAACACCCTGATCAGACAAGGGCCAGGAACACTTTACCTAAAGATTTTTTAAAACGCAGGAGAGCCCCAGCATGTCAGCTGAGCAACATCAGAAAAAGACAGGGGAGAGGAAGAAGAACCCAGCCTAGATCAGGCAGCCACCAGGAAGCATGGCCAGACAAAGGGCTGCAGGCGTCCTCGGGTCTGTAATCTAAACACAGGGCCTTCCCAGTGCTTGCCCCTAACTGAGTCAGTGAGGAAAGTGTCAAGAAATGCCTGCTACCCCTAAGCCACCTGCTCAGTAGAAAATCCTTCAAGGGCTTGCCATGCTGACAGGCACTGAATGAGGATGCTGCCTGTACATATGATGGACACATTATGTTTGCCTCTTAAATCACAGCCTTTTTGTTTTTAATCTAATGCATTTATATACCAATGTTTTGAAAAAAAATTATATTTCAAAAAAATCAACAGCTGTAAGTCTGCTTCCCTTCAAAAGCTCCACAAAGGGCTTCAATCAGGGAGGGTTAGGAGTGCTTCAAGAACAAGCCACAAGATGAATGACAGTTGTGAGGTATCTAAGAACAAATTTCAATCCCAGATGTGCTTTCCCTTGCCACTCAGCTTTCCTTTGGGTAGATATTCCCATGGTAACTCTGAATATAAATTAGATAAATTCATATTCATGACATTAGCCAAAGCAAAAAATTAGGAATGTAAATCTGCAGCCAAAAATACTTTCATAATGTATTCTAAAATCACACACACACACACACACACACACACACACACACACACAATTACCCATCTCCCCATTCATATCTGATGTGAGCTGAAACTTAAATGTATTTTGAAAAGATATGCTACCTATTTGTGTATTATGTCTAGTACTTAAACGCATACTACATAGTTCACAAAGTGTTTTCACATATATTAGCCCATCCAATTCTCACAATGATCTATCTGGAAGGTGTTATTTGGACCATCTAATACAAGAGAACCCAAGGCTCAAAGGCATGATGTAAGCTGCTTGAAGTCACATGTCTGCCAAACCAAGCCCCTGCCCAGAAAGCTGGTCTCCCACCCGCAAAGCATCGCGCTCTCATTGCGCAAGCTGCCCTGCCACCCGGCTCTTTGATTTCCACTTCTCTTTGGGAAAGAAAGGACAGGAGGTGTCCAGTGAAACCCTAGATCTTTCATCCTACCCTTATTTGGTTACAATACAGCCATGATTGGTTCAGAATCTACCTTACTTTTCCTCCTTAGCTATAGAATGAAAAGAAGAAACAAAAGATGATGGCATGCTCTGGTAAAGTCTTCAAGAATATAAGTGTAAGAAAGGCCAGGATGCGAAGGTTTGCTTTTGGTGAAAGTCTACCTGATATCCCAGTTTCTAGCTGTACCATTCTAAGCCTTACACTGCTACTCCTTGGGAAATTCTATCCCCTTCCATTCTCCACTGGCAAGTTTTAACATGTTATTGTATATGTGTGTGAGTGAGTGAGTGTGTGTGTTTGGTGGGGAAGTCCACCAATAATGGCGTCTATGGGTGAATTATTTCCCTGCCAAGGCCCTTTAAGCAAACCATGAGTGGTAGCACAAAATCAAAGCTAATTCCAATGAGAACTTTTTTAAGTCAGAAGGCCCATGTCTGCACGATAGCTACATGATCTGCATAGGTCAAAGGGTCTGAATGTTATCTGTGTATACACCATCCATTAAATGGTGAAATATTTATTACACATTTCACTGACAACAGATTTCATCAGTGATGGCAACCATATTAAGGACCAACTATTTAAGTGCCTTTATAGGCACAATTTAAAAAGGAAAGAAACTAAACTAATAGTTGATAACCTGAAAGACTAGCTGTGATATTATGTGTATGTATTGGTTTTCATCTACAGTTCCTGGCTTATAAACTCCCATAGCTCTTGTTACAGTCTTTTGTTGTAACGTTGGGCACGTTAGGCCTCAGAAGCAGGTAGAAAAAAAAAAAAAAAAAGAATCTCTCTGACCTTCCCTTGCCCTCCTTTCATCTGCTCCTTTTTGGTCCCAGGGCAGGCCATAGAAACTAAAAATATACTCTAATTTTCTCCTGCCTTTTTGATGTAGGTCATAAGACCCTCATTTCAGAAGGGATCCCACCCTATACTGGGGAGAAAAGAATGCCACACAGAGAGGCCAAGAAGAATCTGGACAGGCCTTGCTGGGTTTCCCCACTCAGTCTATCAGCATTAGATCACACCCCTTTTGTCCAATCACATTTCTACGTGGTTGTCAATCATGCCTATGCAATGAAACCTCCATAAAAGGTTCAAGAGGATGGGGTTCGGAGAGCTTCCAAACAGCTGAATATGTGGAGATTCCTGGACGGTGGTGCCCGGGGAGGGCATGGAAGCTTCGTGCCCCTTTTTCCACACCTTGCCTTATGCATCTCTTCATCTGTATCCTTTGTAATACTGTTTATAACAAACTGGTAAGTATGAGCTAGTGTTTCCCTGAGTTCTGTGAGCCACTTTAGCAATGCAATGAAACTCAAAGAGGGGGTCGTGGGAACCCCAACTTGAAGCCAGGCAGTCAGAAGTCCCAGAGTTGTGACAGGTGTCTGATGTGGGGCAGGGGAGCAGTCTTGTGGGACTAAGCCTTCAACCCATGGGATCTGGCAGTATCTCCAGGTAGATAGTGTCAGAGCTGAACTGGAGGACACCCAGCTGGTTTCTGCTGCAGAATTGATTGCTTGTTTCCTGGTGGGTAGAAATCCCTCCCATATTTAATCACAGAAGTCTTCTGTGTTGGTTACTGTATTGTGAGAGCAGACAAAAACCAATTTGTGGGGTTTTTTTCCACTCAGGCTAGCATTTCAAAAACAAATTGATTAGGAACTGGCAAAGCCTGTGAGTGGTTTTTCTTTTGAGAAAATGGTGCTGATAAAAGGAAGGTTCTGCAAAAACTGAAATGTTTTTGAACCATCAGAGTGGCTTTCACAACCCATGATTTGGTTTCATTTTAAAACAACTATGACTGATTATACATTAAGATTCGTTATGTAAAATATCAAATTACTCATCACCCATTTGATCTGAATAAGAGTTCCCAAATTCTCCTTAGGTAAAAAAATGACGTTATTTATACCCATAATAACCATTTCCTATCTATTACATGTCAGTAGATGACACACAAATTCGGATGACTCTGGCAACCCCACAGAGTAGTCAGGAAAAGGATGTACAGAAAACCTAAATCCAGAGGCAATAAGGGACAAAGGAACAACTCTGAGCCCTGGAGTCAGACAGAGAGGGTATCACCTTGACTCAGTCCCACACTACATAACCTCATATCTGTCATTAATCATTCTGAGCTCAGATTCATCATCAGTAAAACACAGGACACTACATGTGAGTACACAAATGTGCTGGGCTGGTGTGCAGAAACATACAGCCTCCTGCTCCTCAAGCACCTATTATGGAGAGGGGACTTATGTTCCATTCCTCTCCCCCTTCCCCTCCTGCCCTGAAGGTGATGCAGTAAGGAGAGGTCACTTGATCTCTGAAAGGGGAAGTGAGTTTGACCCTGATTTGTATTCTTAACCCTGTTGTGCAAGGTTGGGAATTGTTCTTGCTCCTTTAGCCTCCATGCTGTGGGCAAAAGAGGCAGCTTTTGGGAGGCCCAACAATTTCTAGGATCTCTCCATTTCAGCCTCCTTACCTGTAACTGTGACCAACCTGGTGACTAAAGGGTACCTGTCCTCAATTCATAAGGTAGACTGTAAGCAGCCCCATTACTAAAGGCCAAGTGATATACTCCAACATGTATCTACCAGGGACTTCGGATCTTAAAGAAATAATTTAATCACAAGTTAACTCCTTGTGTCTGTTTATCAATGAGTTGGAAACCTGGAGGAGAAGCAGTGTAAACTAATCTTCAATTGCCATCATCTTCTTACAGAGTTTCTGTGAAAATTAGAAAGAATGGATGTAAAAAAGAAATAAAGAATAACCATTCCTAATACGTAGCAAATGCTCTGTAAACTGTAACTATATTTATGTTGGTTAGAAATCGTTTAAAAATCATCTGAAAAGTGCAGAGTGGCTTTGACAGAAGAACCAGACTGATGGACAGGTATCCTCTCATAAAATGAATTGACAAGTGTTCTGTCTTCTGTTTTCTGGAAGAATTTGTGTAAGACTCATATTATTTCTTCTGTAAATGCTAGATGTAATTCACCAGTAAAGACATGTGGGTGTGTGGAAAGGTTTTTCATTATGAACTCAATTTCTTTAATTAATACAGCTTTCCATCTCTTCTCAAGTCAGTTTTGATAATTTATGTCTTTCAAGGAATTTGTCCATTTCACCCAGGTTGCCAGATTTATATATTTTTCTTTTTTTGAGTTGTTTTTCATGGCAAGATATCATCATGATGTTGTCAAACTTATTGGCACAAAAATTGTTCGTCATATTCCCTTATTATCCTTTTAATATCTGAAGGTCTATAGTAAAGTCCCTTCTTTTATTCCTGACATAGGTAATTTGTTTCTTTCCTCTTTTCTTCTCAACTGATTTAGCTAGAGTTGATCAATTTGGGAGGCATTCTCTAGTTCCTAAGGATGTTGTTGAGTTTTATTGTCAGGTAAAATCTCTCTTCTCTAGACTCACTGAAAGGGTTTCCTTCACTCCTCATTCAGAAAGAGAGATGAAACAAGTTCCACAGCTGTTACCTGCCTTTGGGGAGGCTTAATTTTCATATAATATAACCACAATGGGAGAGGGAGGGAGCCACTCACAAATATTTGTAAAGATATTTGGCATTTGTTTGTATTTATTTATTTATTTATGTTTTAGAGACTGGGTCTTGCTGTGGCCCAGACTGGAGTAAAGTGACACGATCATGGCTCACTGCAGTCTGAAACTCCTAGGCTTACGCCCCCTATCTCAGCCTCCTCCAAGAGTAAGTATGACCACAGGCATGTACCACCATGCCCAGCTACTTTTTTTACTTTTTGTAGAGACAGGGTCTTGCTATGTTGCCCAGGCTAGTATTTGGTATTTTAAATAACTAGAGGCTCTGGCCCAATCTTGCTGTCTAGCACAATGACCCCCAGTAATATGGATACTTAGGTCTTTAAAACTTTTTATTTTGGAATAATTATAGATTCAAATAAGTTGCAAAGATTAAGTACAAAGAGGTTGTATGTACCCTTCACCCAGTTTCCCCCAATGGTTACATCTTACATAACTATGGTACAACATAAAAACCAAGAAACTGGCATTAATACAATGTGTGTGCATAGTTCCCTGTCATTTAATCAAATGTGTAGATTTGCATAACTAGCACTACAATCAAAATACACCATTGTTCCATTATCCTGAAGAGGTCCCTCATGCTACCCCTTTATAAGCACCCCTACCCCAATGACCCCACCATCCCTGTTTGCTGGCAACCACTAATTTGTTTTCCATCCCTATAATTTTGTTATTTCTACAATGCTGTATAAAGGAAATCATAGAGTATATAACCTGCTGAGATGGGATTTTTTTTTTTACTTGGCATAATGCCTTTGAGATCCATAAAGGTTTTTGGGTATATCAATAGGTTGTTCTGTTTTACTGTTGAGTAGTATTCTACGATATGGATATATCATAGTTTGTTTAACCATTCACCTATTACAGAACATTTTGGTTGTTTCCAGTGTTTGTCTATTACAAGTTCGTATGAACAATCATATCTAGGTTTTTATGTGAACATAAGTTCTCATTTCTCTGGGAGTGAAATTCTGGGTCATATGTCAATTTCAACTTTAGTTTTATTAGAAACTGCCAACTTGTTTTCCAGAGTGGCTGTACCATTTTACATTCCCACTGGCAATGTATGGGAGTTCCAGATTTTAAAACAGACATGAATCATTGATGAGGAGTCAACTATAGTCTCTGAGTGGGTGCAGAACAAAGTAATAAGCAAGCTGGGAGAAGAAAAATAACTAGAAAATTATGCAGGTAAATTAACACAGAGATTCACATGATTTCAGAAATACTGGCAAAAAAAAACCTCTTACCTTCTTTAAGCTGTATCCAGCATGGAAAATAATTGGAGGCAGAAGAATGTTGAAAAATACCTCTGGATCAAATGTTACCTGAAAGTTTAAAAAGAAAAAAAAAGCCATTTTTTTCATTTAACTCCAATTCTTTCTATAGTATCTGCTTAATATTTGAAGCCATTGACTAAAGTTTGAATATTTAGAGCAAACAACATAAATGTGAAAACGCAGGGACTCATCCCAGAGGAGAAGCTATGACTCCCCATGGACTGGCATGCTCTCTTCCCCATAACACTTTTGCTCTTATGATCTTGCTTGTGCTGTTTTAAGACATAATAAGACACACCAGTTTCATGCAATTTTGAGAACTCACAGAAAGCTTCTGGCTGGTGTTTTTCAATAAGAAATAAAAACATCTTGATTTCATCACACCTTTATAAAAGCTCAACTGTAATAAAAGATGCCATCATGATTCTTTATTAACTTCCTGGAACCTCTCACAGAATCCCTTATAGACAAAAACTGTGCTAAATTAAAGTCCCTTTTGAGTGACCAGCCTTCTGTTATACTTGCTGTAGCCTAAATACAAGTCACTAGCAATGTTAGTGGCTTCCTGAACATCAGCATAAATTGGGTAACTTTAAAGGAACTGAAATTTCTTGTAGATTTGATACAGGGAAATTACTCTGAAACTTTTAGATAGCAAAGTTTTATCACATCCAGAAAAAAATTAAGCATGCTATAAACATCCTAATATTTTAAAGAATTTGTTCCTGCTGGTACATTATTCTGCTTTTGTTTTAAATCTTCATTCTAGATATTAAATGTTAACTTTCTTGTTTAGAAACTGGAAGTGTCAAACAGTTTAATTAAAGTAGAATGATTCTTTGTTCAAATGATGTTTTCTTCTTTCTTCTTGTGAAAGGTAAGTGTTCTGCAATGCAGGAGATGTCAGAATGAAAAGGAGCCTGGGATAGTACCTACCCAGTATGAGGAAACTGAGCCCAAAGGCAGTGAAACTTCCTGGATGCCACCAAACCCAACAATGTACAAACTAGCGTAAGAGTTGTCTGACACTCAGTCCAATCCTGTTCTCATCAACCAAGCTACCTCAACATGTCTCGTTTCCCTCAACTAGCAACAATCATCCTGGTCTTGTTTGTTCTCCCACCTCTACTTTGTGCAGCAAAATTTTAAACAGATAGGGGATTTAAATAAACAGGTTTCTAAAGATAATAGAGCAAAAGTCAGCTTTATCTTCTATTGTGACCTGAAAGATGGAAATGTATTGGTGTCATTTCCCTTTCCCCGCTATCTTATCCAATATGAAGGGCTCAAGCTGCCATTTCCAAACAGCCATTAAGTGTGGTATTTACACTGGATAGCTTTCTCAGCTGCACTGAATTTCAGAATGTTTATGGAAACTCCATCCTTTATTATGAAGAGCTGAAAGCAAAGAGTACTGCCGTTAGGGACGCAGAAAAGGCAGTCATGTTTAATGCTCTAAGTGGAGAGTAATTTTCCTTAAGGATTAGGGTAGATTCCAAGAACAACAGTAATTTAATTTTTGGAGCCCACGCTACACTCTGCCTTTCACTCTCAGCCTTCACATACCTTAGCCTTGTGCTGTATTAAAAAGGGCTCCCCACAACCTGGATCTCCCAAGACAGCTATACAGAAGGCTTCCTTCTGATAAACCTGGTCTATAAGGTAATGGAGTATACATCAATTAATACAGATCTCTTGCTTATCCTGGAAATTACCCATGCAAGGAGATGCATAATGCTTTTTCATGTGCACTATTTTGCTACCCCAACATTAAATGAAAATGCTTGGACTCAAATTCTAAGACAAAATCTTCTTCCCCTGAAGATTCATTAAGCCTTTGGCTTCAATCACCAATAAGAGTAAGCACTCAAATATTTGTAGGATACAGCAAAAGAACCATGAATTAAGAATTACCCTTCTGAATACTGAATAAATAAGCTAAAAGTGAAATTAATCTTATTTTAAGAAAGTAGCAATAACATCCCTAAACCACAGGGAGGTTAAGGGACATAGCAAAGAGGAGATGGTAGCTGGATAAATGAGCTGAGTGGGGACATACAAACCCATTCCATAATCAGTGGCCCATATCAGCTACAGATGCTAACAAACCCACAAAGGTCACCAGCTGAAAGGCTCAAGTTAAAATCTGGTTCTTCCTTCTCCTCATCATGAACCTGAAAGTTTCCTAACAAAATAGAGAGCCAGGAATGTTACTGGTAATCCAGGAGTTTGGAAGGATTTCTCTCCACAAGGTCAAGATAAGTCAGGGAATCAACAACCATGTCGGGACAATGATGGCTGAGTGTCCCCAGCTCACCTTCCGTAGCATGTCATTTTGCTCTACGCTGTTGATCTTGCCAGGGCTGATTTCTCCTTTCAGAGTGTATTCGAAGAACTTTCCGCTGACATTCACTAATAAGGTGCTGAAGGCCCTGTCTTCCTGAGTGCAGCTGAGTGATTTGTCACGGCCACTGGTAGCCGGGGTACCATACCTCAGGATCACCCCAACAATGAGCCCTGAAAGAGTGAGGAAAAACTCATCAGGCTTGAGGAAGGATAGGGAGAGTGTAGAAATAATGGCATAGCTGATTTTCAACAACTAAGAAACACAGCAGTAATCTTAGAAATTGGGCATGGGTATGTATTTTAGGAGAAACTGCATGGGCCTTCAGGATTGAAAGGGTTAAGCATCCATCTATTCTAGTCTGATTTAAGTTGCTCAGCCACCAGGAAGACAAGGTGGGACAGTACCTTTGGTGGTATTATGGCACTGAGAGCACTTTTTTTTTTAGTGGAGTCTTGCTCTCTGACCCAGGCTGGAGTGCAGCGGTATGATATGGGCTCACTGCAACCTCCGCCTCCCGGGTTCAGGTGATTCTCCTGCCTCAGCCTCCTATGTAGCCAGGACTGCAGGCGCCCGCCACTACACTCAGCTAATTTTTTTTTTTTTTTTTTTTGCATTTTCAGTAGAGATGAGGTTTCATTACTTTGACCAGGCTGGTCTCGAACTCCTGACCTCAAGTGATCTGCCAGCTTCAGCCTCCCAAAAGTACGGGGATTACAGGTATGAGCCACCACACATGGCCAGCCCTGTGACGCTTTTAACACCTGAGCATGTCTAATTTCTCAGGCTTCTGGTGGAGGAAGATGTGATGACAAGCAGCAAAGATTTTTCTGGCCAGGACAGCACAAAGCAGAACTGCTGAGCTCTTTCATTTCCCCCAGCAGCATCCCCAAGCCAGTCCTGCTGCCATGTGCCAGCAAGGACCAGGCCATTGGAATTTCTAGTTGCTATAAATGTAACTTGCTTTGCCAGACATCAGAGGAAAGAGGAGAAATAGAAATTCTTTTGCTTATTTGAAGCACTGGGTATCATGGAGAAGGTAATTACATCCCTTGGGAAGTGACTGCAGTGTACATTTGAGCAGTCAGGATGCAGGGGCTGGGGAGAGCTGGCTTCTTGGGACTATAGCTATGAGATGGCTCAGATGATCAGCTACAAGTCTATAAGTCTTATATCCTTCTTAGTAGGGCTCTCCCATTAGGGAAAAATAAAAACAGCAAGATCATGTATAAGCATTCAATTCTGTGAATGAGGAAGGAGTGTGGCTTCCCTGGACCTGAATATGAGTCAGATGTGCCCAAGTAAAAGTGAGTGAAAGACAAAAAAAAAAAAAAAAAAAAAAAAAAAAAACCAGCCATAAATGATTATCAGACACTTTCTATAATTCTCTTAAGAGGAAAATTTCAGACTTCTCTCTAAATTCAGTTCTTTGCTGGAAATATTAAAAGAAAGAATGGTATATTTGCTTCCCCATCTCATTTTGCCATTAATGGAGAAAGTTGAATGAGAAAAAGAACGTTTACTGTCTTCCGTGTGTAATTTTCTACAATGTCTCTTATCTCCGAGATATGTAAGAACTCAGAAGGCATTGTTGAATAGCAAATAAAATATAAAATCTAGAAAAATACAGTTCTTTAAGCCAAGATCTGTGTGTTGCAGTATTATTATTATAAACCCATATCAACAGATACTTGCAGTTTGTTGACTTGTAATAAAACAACTTGATTTTTTTACAACTTAAAAATGAGTTTCTTAATAATCTCAATTTGACCAGTTATGAAACAATTTGAAAACCTTTAAAGGCATATAAGAAAAACCAGACCTTTTATTTTATTTATTTGTTTGTTTTTTGAGACAGAGTCTCACTTTGTCACTGAGGCTGGAGTGCAGTGGCTCAATATTGGCTCGCTGCAACCTCCGCCTCCCAGGTTCAAGCAATTGTCTTGCCTCAGCCTCCCGAGTAGCTGGGACTGGGCACCACCACGCCTGGCTAACTTGCATTTTTAGTAGAGAAGGGGTTTCACCATGTTGGCTACGCTGGTCTCAAACTCTTGACCTCTGGTGATCTGCCTGCTTTGGCCTCCCAAAGTGCTGGGATTATAGGAGTGAGCAACCACGCCTGGCCTCAGACCTTCTAAAAAACATACTTGTCATTACTAAAAAGAGATAGTGCTAGCTGGTAAATGGGCCAAAAGCAGGCACTCAAAGTCTTCAGAGCCAATCTTTTGTTCAGGTCTTATTGTTAGAACTTATATTCATTTCTCCTGTCAGATGACAAACCAGATGACAGCAGAGACGGTCGGCTGGCATTTACTCAGCCCTGCTCTGCTCAGCCTTGGCAATGGACGTCCTCACGGCCTCTTTGCCATCTTGTGGTTCAGGGTTATCTGGGTGTCTGTGCTGGTAAGTGAAGTTGGGGGGTGCCTACACTGAATGGCTGCTGGCCTTGGGTCTTCATTACTGTCGTAGGTGAGGAAGGACCCTGGAGACTTGTGGTCTGTAATCCCAATACATATTCTGTCTCACTGGCCTATCTCTTCTCCTTCACCTGGTTTTTGGCACCCTCCATCACTTGTCCCTGCTCAGGAGGGTTAGAACACTCTGGTCAGCACTCACAGGGTCTCTGCAAGGGAGGAGGCATCGTCCATGTGCTGTCAGGCTGGACGTCGAGGGGCACTCTCCAATCCTTCTTTTCCCCACTCTCACTGTTCTGGTAATTGTGCTGGTGACTGCGTGGAAGACCCCCATTATGCAGATAACATCTATAATGGTTTCAGTCTGCTGCATCTGTACTGCCTGGCAATGGAACGCCAGTAGGGACTGCAATCTTTGCTGCCCGTGTACCCTTTTCTCCTTCAATATTGAACTCCATCCCCCACAGCTTCTCCATCCCCTATACTGCCAGGGTGCTGCCTGGGATCGCACAGTGTCATTCCTGTGGATGAAACCATGTATGTTTCCTTCATGGAACCATCTTACTCTTCCCAAACCTTCACTGGGATAACCCTGTCCTGTTTGTGGGCTGCTACTCCTTCTGCCTCTGCCCATGGTGTCATGCCAAGTGTCTCAGTCTCACTGCTCATCTTTGCAGTCACAGTGACTGCAGCCAGCTGTGGCAGCAGTGGCTCCTTTGCAGGTGTGATGGTAATGAGACTACTGGTAGCAATGAAGCTGTTCAGGGCTCTGTGGGGCTCTCTCTCCACTCTAGATGGAACTCTGTGATGCTTTTTAGTCTTATTTCATCCCCTGGTTAGACAGTTATTTTCTGATGAAGTTTTACATGACAAAGACGACTCTATAGCCCTTCAACATTCATAATACAGGATGATCTGTAGCATCTGGAGAAGGCTACCTGGAACATGATTTAACTTAAATGTTATCAGGAAGCCAAAATAAGTCATTTACAGAGACTATCTTTCTCCTAAAAGTTAAAACCTGCTTCATGTAACTCACTGTTTCTTGACCTTTCTAACCTCATTATTAGCAGAGTTAATGGAAAGACTAAAGCATACTATCAAGGGTCCTCATGATGAATATGACTCTAACAAAAGAGAGGGTTTATATTTGCAGGCAAATTCCTCAATTACAGGAAACACTTTTCAACTCTCTTCCAGTAATCATCACCATCATATTTACAATAATCACTGGATGATGAATTTTGTTTTTTAAAGTTAGAAAACCTTTCCTTCTCTGCCTTGGGCCCAATGCACCCATATTAAAGATGGGAGGGAGATGGGGAAGGTGGTGATGCTGCCCCCTTGTGGTTAAAATATGGTAACACAAAACACCATAGCAGAGATGTAACGTTAACACCAGATAGTTTTTACCAAAAATATATCAAGCCACAGGGTACATACACCACTAACTCAAGGTAGAGTTTGGGTACCTCCCCAGATATTTTAGATTCATATTTATTACCACCATATTCCATGGCATGATATTAAGTTCACATTTGGTGTTGTCCAGTTGAAGAAAGAACAGGATATTAGAACTGCAGGAGGGTAATTAGGTGAGAAAATGTTAGACAGTTGCAGAAAACATGAACAGCATATTTTCATCTGCTGGCTCTCAGAGACATCCTGAGAGGGAACTGTGAAATGGGCATAGCTACGAGGAATTAAAACATGATATATATTTTTAAAGTTCAGTATTCCTAAAAAATGACGGAGAGCAACAGAGGCACTAATGATTTGACCACATCAATAGCCTAGTGTTCTAGATCACAAAGAGAAATAACCTACTGCGTGTTTGGGCCAGGGAAAACGGCACATAAAATGTCAACTGATAAAGAGACAATCACTGATTTCACAGGTACATTACTAACGAAAGAATTGTTTTGAACTTTTACAGAAAGCAAATATAGATGAAATTCCTTTGACATTTGATATGGCTTAAAACAAGATGGTGAACTCCGAAGGGGAAAAATTCGAGACTGTTTCAACTTGTGGGTATGAAAAAAACGCACTTCACAACTGTACTAGCATATATACAGCTTATGTATGTGCTTATCCAAAACTTGGTAATATGATGAAGGAATACAATCATGAGAGCAAAGTATGGTTTAAAAATCCCATGGGTTCATTAAAGCAATCAGCTCCCACCGGTCTGATGCCAGTTTTCCTTTTGTGGCTGAGGCTATTGGGAGGACAGCTGAACAAGTGGACATGATGAGGTGTAATTCTAGACAGCCATCCATCAGCTACGATATTTAGATGTCTATGTTAATAAGCCCTTGTTCAGGAAGAGAACAGCTGCGTGGGTGCGCTGTTCTTTAGTGAGATCTCATTTTCTCATATACAAGGTACTAAAGGTAGATGATCACCTGAGCAGTTTGGCCACCACTGTGGAGTTTTTTACAGCACATAGGGGTTGTTACGAATTTTAAAGCTTCATCTGAAATTCCAAGAAAAGAAAGCATCTCATTTTGCATCCAGTTACACAGTCTTTGAAGATGGTGACGACTATTTCTAATTCAATGAATAAAGAGAATCCAATGGATTCCAGCAACTGACGATGACTTTTCAGGTTTGGGGGTCATTTATACGACTTGGATTTTGAAAATGAATATTACATCCCTTTCAATACCTTGTTCTACTTGTTCTGATACTTATGCAGCTGTGCTATTCATTGATATATTAGTTTCAAGGAGAATTCATTCAAAATATTTTTGTTC